AGTCTCCCTTCTCAACCTTATTTGCTCACCTGTAAACAACAACAATTTGCCTACCATTGTAAAGATAAATAAGTTTGAGGACAGATATTTCCCTACAGGAGAGACAGGGAAGATGTGGCCCTTCAGATGTTGGACTCCCATGCAATGCTGACTTAGGGCCAATGGGACCTGAAACCAACAACATTTAAAGGGCTGCAACTTCCTTGCTCCTGTCTTGTAGCACCTTCTGGGCAGGATTGCATCCTTTCTGCGTTGTGTACACTACTTACTACAGTGCTGGAATAAACACTGGACACTGCTTTCAGGAATACAATAATGCCGCAGCATTCCACCACCACCCCCGCCTCCCCCCCCCGAAAAAAGCACGGTTACTTTAGTACAAAGGTAACAATGTCAGGACTACTAGTGGTATGACGTTTTAATTCAGAAAGCAAGGGTACATTATTCCCTAACACAAAGTTCATGCAGCAGAAGCAAGTGTATTTAGATGGATTATCTGCCCCAGTTCCTGTTCTTATTATGGGAAAGCAATCAGTTCTTCGTGAGAATCCAGCACCACGCTGAGCCACCCTGGGGCTTCTGATGGTCCGGCCTTTCACTTTGCATTATCATCTGGTAGCAGCTACATCCTGTGCCACAGCTCCATTACAAAGCAACAAAGTCAGAATGGAAGATCTATGAAGCCTCATGTCTGGGTGGAGGGGGGGCGGTATTTCAACACTCTGCTAGACCTGGATTAAAGGATACAAAGGCACCTCTTTTAAATTGCACCTTTTGATTTTATTTTTTATTCTTACAGTCATGCTGCTATAAGGAAAACTAGCTGTTTTAAGAATTTGGGATCACCTAGTTGTGATCTACTTCTTGAATATGGAGTTCATTCACAATTCTCTGTTGCTTATCACTACCCAGCTTTCCTCCATTCATTCAAAAGTTTCACTGAATATATCCCTCTGTCAGTCAAGGGTGGCTTTTCCATTTTGCCAGACACAGGAGGAGGTAGAAGCAAACATTTCTACCTGACAGCAGCATACGCATGGAGGACATAATGTATGCATACATTTAGTACACGAATCCTCTAAATTCAGCGCGTGCCCAACACACTTTGCTGCCTGAGGCAAAGGACAAGTGCCAAACCACACCGCTGTATATATTGAAGGCAACTGGACTGGTACTTTAATTTTACTTCAGCTCCAGAGGTGAGACAGCTTCCTGCACCACACCTGAGGACAACAGACTCAATTTAAGGAATGCAGGGCAAGCTATGTAGCACACACAGCTCTCTTCTTCAAAACCTCATCTCTGCTGGCCACCCCACAACTGCCGTCTTGACATCGCTGCTGGATGGCCACACATTATTGACAGAAGCTAACAGGGAGGAATTTCTTATGTGTTTTAGGGGAGCCCTAATTGCACAACTTGTGACCTTCCCCCAAAGTGCCTCCTCAGCCACATGCAGATATTGGTGGCCCCTCCAGGGCTCCATATGGCAGCGTACACACCATACATTTAAAGCACATCCCACCCCACAATAATCCTGGAAACTAGTTTGTAAAGGGTGCTGAGAATTGTAGCTCTTTGAGGACTACAGTTCTCCAGATTCTTTGGGGAAAAGAAATGTGCTTTAAATGTATGGCATATACATTTTCATTTCTTGACACATGCCTACAACAGCAAAGCAGGGATAGGATGGTGTGTCATGTAGACCAGCCTGGCACATAATGTACGACAAGTGCTGCACTCAGCTTTGTGAGTCACACACAATAGCCCTGGGCATGGCCTTGGAGATTCATGAATCTTTTACCTTATGTATTTCACCTTTCTTCCATCATGAGTTGTATGTGTATTATGATTCCCAGGAGGTCTCCCATCCAGGCAGTGACCAGAATTGGACCTTCTTAGCTTCAGTGAGAGGGTGATCTCATCTGCCTTCAGACCATATATCTAGGAAAGTGGTGCTAGAAGGAGCTAAATACCTCCTGCAGTATGCAATGCCAATGCAACTTGGGAGTCCCCTTGAACTGTTACCAGTCTTTGAATGAACAAACGATGGGTAAGTCAATCAGAGGCCTCCAAGATCCCACATTCCTTAGCGGCAATAGTGGAGGGTTGACTGTGCTAAAATGCAAGTGGCACAAAGCAGATCTATGCTACATCTTACAGATGGCAGAAGTGGGGAGAGAGAGAAAGGGAAGAAAATGTCTCCTGAATTTCCAGTGTGGTGTTTAAGTGCCAGGCTGGGGGGCTGCAGTGGTGGGGTTGGGGGAGAGATTAAGGTTGCCACCTTTTCGGCTGGTTTTGTCCCTGTGCTTTTTAACAGCAGTTATATTCACAAAATAATCAAATATAACCTTCCCCCTATCACTTTATCTTCGTGCCAGAAAACCATCGTGCAACTTCTGTTCCTTGCCCGATGTAGCTGAGTCAGGCACATCTGTTCTGCATGAAAGCATTTCTAGGAGGAAAAGGGAGGAGAACCGGACAAGTCATGAGTGCTGTTACCATTGATAGAGCTTGGGTCGGGGCTAGATAAAGGAAGTAAGGCCCAGCCTTTTTAGAGCAATAGCCTATCATTCTGATGCACACTGCAGATGAGTGGGAGCTCCCTGCCTTTCCAGAAATCGCTGCTTCATGCAGAAGATGCTCTTATTAATAATGCAGAAGTGGTATTTGGCATATATATATATATATATCAGTAGCCCATTTCATATGCACTCTAAGCACAACTTGCATTTCCAAGACTACACAGAGAAACAATTGCCAGATACCTTCATGCAATGATCAAAGAAAGATATTTTTCCCCCAATGAAAAAGAAAATGGCTCAGCAGAGCAGGATGTGTTTTCTGGACATTTTCAGCGTTTTGTCTACCACATTAAAGCACAAGATCTGTCATGCTTGAGGTCTGCCAGAAACTACAAGCATTTAACACTGGGTCGCATCACGAGATGGGTGTTAAAAATGCCAGCAGAGCATTTCAAGCAGAGCTCCCTAAGGCTGCTAACACAACGAAGCTCATCTGATCTTAGCAACAGTGGGATATTTTTAGAAATTGTCCCTATTGTACACAAGCTGAAAATACTCCACCTTTCCATTGCTTCTCAGATAAGCCAGCTTTGCATCGGGACTTTCTCTGGCAAACATGAATAGAACACCAACACTGCAAAATGTCCCCCACCCCCCCACCCCCGTCCTGTTATAAACTTCTGAAATAGCCTCATCCCAAAGCTAATTTGCCATCAAGACCCTGATAATTCTGGCAAGTACTGTAAATACATTGTTTTAAGTTACTTATGGTACGGGGGGTGGAGGGAAAGACTGCTCTACAAAACTCAGGTTTATAAGAGATGGAAAAACAAAGACCAAGCTTTGATAGGGAATTGGACAAATGAGTTCTAGCAGGCCTCCAGCTACTCTAAACAGCTGCAAAAACCTTAGCATTAAACAGGAAACTGAACTAATTTTCAATTTGTTGACCAAAACAAGGTGCTAGATAGCTTAATGCCAAACCCACATAGGAATCCCCAATCACTAAAATCCTGACTGCCAAGTTTCCCATTTCCCCCTACTGTTCCCAAAACTTCCAGACCCCATGTCTATTTCCTGCTTCCTCTGCACTGCCACAATATTCTCATTTGAAAAGAAACAAAACTATTGCCACTTTCTTTCTTCTTTCCCAATCTGCTTACAGGGCAAAAACTCTTTGATGACTTTGCCCCTAAGCAAAATATAAGAATGCCCAAAACTTGCATAGGCCCCATTAACTCTCTTAAGTGTGTAACAGGATAGACTGCTCCATAAATACTACTGTGGTTTCAAACAGTCTCCTCCCTCCTACCAAGAGAAGAATTGTTCTATACACCTCTTGTCCATCTCAAAGCTGAAATCATCCTATATCCAAGTGTGTTAATAGTGAACTAATTCTCTGGGTGTTGATCCTTATGAAACCATAATAGCACCATCCATCTGGAAGAAGGAAGATTATCAGGTGAGAGACCCTCTCCCCCAGCCCATGTACACACTAGGAAAAAAACCTACTTGGGGGCTCAAAGACACCCCAATTAGAAGAAGAAGAGGAAGAGGAAGAGGAAGAAGAAGAAGAAGAAGAAGAAGAAGAAGAAGAAGAAAAAGAGTTTGGATTTGATATCCTGCTTTACCACTACCCAAAGGAGTCTCAAAGTGGCTAACATTCTCCTTTCCCTTCCTCCCCCACAACAAACACTCTGTGAGGTGAGTGAGGCTGAGAGACTTCAGAGAAGTGTGACTAGCCCAAGGTCACCCAGCAGCTGCATGTGGAGGAGCAGGGAAGCAAACCCAGTTCCCCAGATTACGAGTCTACCGCTCTTAACCACTACACCACACTGGCTCCCACAGTTTAGAACTGAACATGCTCAGTGGCACACAAAGGGATGGGGAATGAAGTATTCCGAAAGGAGATACAGCAGACTAACTGGCACCAGGGGCCGATTGGACCACTCTACACTGCTTTATTTTGTTGTAGGTCCCACTTCTTCAGTGTTTTTTTACTCCATAAAGCCATTGTTGGAAGCTGCCCAGAGTGGCTGGTGGGGTATAAGAAAATTAAGCATCATCATCATCATCATCATCTGAATTTATTCAGTCTGTAAACACCTTTGAAATGCACCCTATATTAAAAAAACAAACTGGTGCTCTAACAGGTAGTTGCTAGAGAACAAACAATGGAAGAGCCAATCATGCTGTTCATTAAAGAGTAACAACAAAAAGAGATGTGATTTTGCCAGCAGCATGGGTCAGCTCTGAAGTCTAAGCTCAGTTGCCAAGAAAGGAGGTTGTGAATACTGTATGTGCAAAATAATATTAAGTAAGGCTGAGAAAGGAACCTACCCATATTATGGAAGTCCATAATTATGGAAGTACTTCCAGGGGCATCTGGAACCTACACTTGCCCCATTTCTCTAGAAGCAGAAGTTTAAAATAAATTCTTAAAATAAATTCCTGTAAACTGGAAGAGGATGTGGGGAAAATCTAGCAAATTCATTAGGGATTATATAGATTGAAACACTGCAATAAACTTTTAAGAGACTGAAAAATATGTCTGCATTAGAGTACCTGTAAGCTACCTATTCAAACCAAAACAGATTGAAATAAAGGACCTGTGAGCAAGTTAAACTTTTCTAAATGCTCAATTATACTCATTGGGTAGGATCCAGACTAAGTTAGTTGCACTTAGATCCCATTACTTTTCACATAACCTATGTTAAAAGTAATGGGGTTGAAGTGCAACTAACTTAATCTGGATACAACCCATTGTAGCTATCTTGGCCACACGTTTACATTCAGCATGATATGGTGCTTATATACAAAACCTTTCTATCTATTGCTTATCAACATAGATAGCATCTCTTTCAAAATATTCAGATAGGGAGAAACAGCCAAGCATAATTTTAATGAATCACTGCAACACAAACAATGGATTTCCCCATAGAAGAGCTATAAACAACCATCTCCAATCCTGCTCACCCTGCTGCATTTGTGTATCTGTTACAGCCTGGCTGAATTCCCTAATCCTACATGCTTAGATCTCAGAAGAACTAGTAACACTTTCCTTCAGATTTAGATACTTTCAAATGTCTGGAAACATTCATCCTGCAGTGAATGTCATCCAACTTCATTGCGCCACACACACACACAGAGAGAGAGAGAGAGAGAGAGAGAGAGAGAGAGAGAGAGAGAACTAGTTATTGCTACTGAGGCATAACACATACTACAAATGTGTGGCTGGTTAGAAACCACATGTAATATTGCCTTGGCTTCATTCATGGATGGAATAAACCAATACAATTACAGTTGTACTACTAGAACATGTGTGTCTTGGTGCATCTTTCAATATCATACTAAGCTTTACTAAAATGTTCCATAAATTAGCCTTTAGAAGCACAACAGAATTTCATTTAGTGATTTAAGGATGTGTGGCTGCCCTGAGTTCTTGCAAAACTGGGTGAACCATGGATAATATACTGGCTTGTGCCAACAAAAAGAAAATTGGCTGCTTTCCCCCTCCCCCTTAAATCTGTGGCTGAAGTGTAGTTACTGAATGTCCAAAGAACCAACCTTATCTACAGAGTGAATCCTATTAATCTACATCAAAGTCTTGCACAGGAAGAGGGACCAAGAAAAATAGGAAAATGTTTTTTCCCACCCACTAAGTATTTCTCTCAGCAGGTATTTCCTCCTTTTCCTGTCCGTTTTAGTGGAAAGTTTCACCTAGTCTCAAAGAATCCCTAGCTTTAACCCAGAATTGTTAGTTTCCAGTAAATTTATATTTTGCTTCTAGTAAGTACACCCCTTTTAAGCAACAGTAAGGAGAAAATGAACCATGTTCAGCAAACCCTGAAAGGGGTGGGGGGAGACTCAAACAAGCAATCGGCTTCCTTCTCTGGCAGACACACAGAAAACACCACATTCAATGGCCACAGAATGCTGAATGTCTGGCTTGGGCAAACTGGATCTTTCCCAGCAGCAGAATACTTAGTTCTTCCTGGTGCTGCCACACCAGGAAGGTGTGAGGTGGGGAGACTAAAAAACACCTTACTGCAAATTCTCACAGCGGTAGTTTTAAGAGGACACACCTTTACAAAAATATTGAAAAGGAGTACTCAGCAGACAGCTGGCTCCATCTAGATCAGCTAAATTGACTATTCAGTCTCCAAACAACACAGCAAACTCGCACTGCTTTAATAAGGCATCACCTTATGTTTGACAATTTGTTTTTATAAAGTATACTACACATATTGGAAAACCATCAAGACTTCTAAAATGCTTAAAGGCTGAAGTAGACAAATGTAAGGAATGGTAGTATGACCCTGTCAGTCACCTACTGAAGTCCACAGGATCAACGTAGATGAATTCTTGGCAGCTGCAGGTATTTTCACCTCTCACATGCATATGGGACACAGCACTATAGGTGCATGCAAGAATTGTTTGTGTAGCATAAGAGTCTTATGCAAAATTCATCTGCATTGGGATCCTGTGGTGTTCAGTGGCTTAATTCCGACAGTCAGGGTCCTGCTACTTTTGCTTAAACTCCTGCTTGGCATTGGTTATTTATAATCATTGAAAGGGTACTTTAAAACTATGTAGCTAGGGGAGATAAAACCCATGCATACTCTTCTGGAAATGTATTTGCTATCAATGAAGGAAGGGAACACCATGGCTAGCCCTTTATACTTCATATTCAGTTGTGTACATAGGGCCTCAGAGTTTAAGAGCAGTTATGAAGAATGCTGAACTGTGACAAAGCAACAAAGAATGTCACACCTTTTTTTAAAGCAGTTGAACTTTTCCACAATTTAATGAGAAAAACCTATTTTATACCACAGTATCAGGCACTGTAATAAAAAAAGAATTTTAAACCACAAATGACTGTATCAATAAGATTTCTGTTGTAAACATAGAACGTAATGCAAATTGCCATTAAATCTTTAATAAGATACCTGCGATTTTTAACATTGTCACATTTACAAATCTCACATGAATAAAGGGTTCAGTTTCATGCAGACAGTTCTGATAAAAAGTATGATCCGCACAGTGAAATGTTGTCAACTTCTGTTGCCAATGACTCATTTGGAGTTGGGTTTATTGAGGTTTAAGAAGTTATCCACATTTCTATAAATATAGACATTAAGTGACTTTTCAATGTCACTAGTGCAGGTACATATAACCAACGTACAAAAGCTCCATTGGAAGCTACTTCAATTCTTTCAAAAAGGACCAGGATTTCATTATTTTTTTAATTAAAAAAAAGCTGTCACTTTCAGTATTGGAAAACACTAAAGTGCATTTTTGGTTACCTTCTAAGCAGTATCTGGCTATAAAATTTGATTTTATACAAGTATCAATAAGTTATGTTTCCTGACATTCAGATAGCCTCCCTATTTTCCAACTAATCCTCCCTATTATCTGACTAGTAGGTAAGAGAACATGCTGTGTTGTGGGTTGTGCCAAGTGGAGAAGTCTTGTTGTCCCTTGAGCTGTTCTCTTACCATGGAATTATTCTTATGTTTCACAGCACCAGTAGAGTAATACAGGATTCACGTTAGCCCTTTAACCTGCTACCCAAGTTGCCCATTTATTTATTTTTTAAAAAACTGTACCAGTAAGAAAACTCATTTCTTTCCATCATATGCTGTCCCACCTACTTAACACTGTTTGCATGACTGTAAACAAGGAAAGCTTAAAGCATAATTTGAGCAGACACAGGTCATCTTTAAACTCTTGTTTTTCCACAGTGTCAAAATGTTTCAAGTGTATAAAGCTTCGATACATTCTTAAGAGTACTGCAGGGGTAATAAAATAACCTGGCAGTACATTTTAACAGCACTGGGCACGTGGGACATGTAGTTTTGTTGAATTTAGCTTAATTTACAATTAATTATGATCAAATTTTATTGCCATCAATTTCATTTAAAGGTAATATTGCACTATAAAAATCCAGAAACCCAAGTCCCTTATGGTCATAGTTTACTTTTGACTCATTGTTCAGTGTTTGTTGCGAGCAAACGTTTTAGAACATGTCTCCATAGGACAAATAAGTATGGTCCAAACCTGATTAGCACTGCTTAACGATGCACAGCTATTTCTAAAGAACCCCTACACACCAAGACATGCTACATTATCAGGAAACTCATCCATGCTCTTATATATTCCATACTTTTTCCCTCTATCAAGCTTCAGATAACATGAATACCACAGTAGTGGTAGTTCAAATCACCCAAGCCACAAGTGTTATTTTAAGAGAATAGATCTAAAAGCATACCATACTGCCAAACTTTCATTAAAAACCCTCCACATTCACAGCCTCCTTAAATAATGGTATACTAGCTCCATATATGTTAAAGGATACTATTTTAAAGCTGCATATCTTCATCTAAACACTCCACATACAAGCAGTAGTTGAAAAAACACTGAATGCCTTGAACGCAGTTTTCTTGCAAAGGCACTCTCAAACATAGTATTACACCACCAAGCAGAACACTCTTCATTGTTTTATTTGGCTATTTAAGATATCCAGGTCACATTTACCCACCCATCTGTTTCCTGATCATTTTGTACTATGCAACAAGGGAGCTGTTTCTGTTTTGCTTTCTTTATATATAAAAAAAGTAGTTGTAGTGCCAATAACTTGTGGGGAAACCAGGTAAAAGGGTCTGCGTCTGCAAAGCTTCCCACCAGGCTGAGTGTTTTATTAGGCTGTACAGGATCCAAACAAGCAGGCCAGGTGCTGGGAACTGTTTTAGTCCAATGCCAAGAAGGAATTACCCCTCATGCCTACAGCAGCTCATCTCTTCTTTTTTTGCTGCCTCAGCATTTTCCTTCGCTTAATTATCATATCGTGCAGTTTCTCGAGTCCTTCTTTCAGCCCATCTCCTATGATAGCACAGGTAGGCTGCAGGTGCCACGGCGTGGAAGCACTCAGCTCGCCTGTGGCCAACATCTTTTCCATCTCCGAGAGCGACAGCGAGTGTCTCAAGTCCTGCTTGTTGGCCACTATGAGCACGGGCACCCCTTGGTTCTCCGAGATCCGCGTGATTTTGTGCAGTTCCGTTTTGGCTTCTTCCATCCTTTCCACATCCACAGAATCCACCACAAAGACGATGCCGTCCGTGCAGCGGGTGTAGGACTTCCAAAGGGGCCGCAGCTTCTCCTGGCCTCCGACGTCCCAGAAGTGGAAAGTGACCGTCTTGTTGTTGCCCAGCGTCACCTTGATCTTCTCGGTGTTGAAACCTTTGGTGGGGACGGTGTTGACGAACTCGTTAAACTGCAGCCGGTAGAGGACTGTGGTCTTGCCGGCGCAGTCCAGCCCCAGGATCACGATGTGGAAGCACTGGAAGGAAGGAAGGCTCGACAGGATCGACGTCTGCTCCGACAACCCATTCCCCATCGCAGGGGAGGGGCCCGGGGCGAGCTGGGGGCACCAGTCTCCCGCCGCCGCCTCAAGCCGCCCGCTGCTGGTCTCAGGCTCCTATAGTCACGGTCCTTCCCTGCCAAGGAAAGAAGCGCAGGGTCAGACCCTGAGGACGATCGCGGGGCCGGGGCGGGGAAAGGAGGACGAAGAAAGCCCGTGGCGGGCGCAGGAAAACCCTGTCGAGAGGCGCCCACCACCCCCTAGGCGCAGCTTTCCCTCCGCCGCTAACAGTAGCTCCAACAAGTCTCCCGGTGACGCTGCAGCAAAGGAGCGCCGCTGCCTATGGCCCGGCCGCGCCTCCTCCCTCTTCACCTAACCCCACACTCCTCCCGCCCCTTTTCGCACAGCGCGCCTCCCATTGGACGCAGAGAGCTGCGGTGGGCGGGCAGCGAGGCGGCGCAAAGGCAAGCCGAACCTCCAGCTCCCTCTTTTTCTCTTTGGGCCAGAGACACGCCACTCCGCCGGACTGCTCGCCTTCCTTCCCGCCCATTGGCCGCTGCGAAGCTGCTGGAAGGCGGGAGGTAGCGCACGTCGCCTCCTCGCGGCCACCCTCGCTTTTAACCCACCCACGCTTTCTCCTTTGCCGGGAACGGGACGTGCTGCAGCGCCCGGCCCCTTTAAGCCGTCAAGGTAAAGGGAGTCACGTCTTGAGGGTGGAGAAGTGTAATAATAAACCCCCAGCTCTAGCCGCCCGCAACCCTTCAGGCCCCGCCCCTTTTCTGACACGACACCCAACCTGCCTCCGGCAGCGCCGAAGGTCGTCCAGCGCCCCCGACACGAAGCCCCTCGGTTTCAGGGAGCCGCCTAACGGCTCTCCTGTCGGCCATTCCTCCCACCTGTTAGCCACGCCGCAGCCCATCTCCGGGAACGCCACCCTCGACAGCCGTCGTTTTCTTCGGTCACGAAGGAAGGGACGCCGCGTTGTCTCGCTCACACGACTTCGCCTCAGGGAAATAAAAAAAAAAAAGACGCGCTGGCTTCAGCCGCACCACTCCAGCCACCCGCCCCTTCGCCTTTCCCCTTCAGACTGGCGGTGGTACGCCGTCATTGTAACGGAAAAGCCTTTCCGTTGAGGCGCCGCCCCCACCGGCGAGCCGTCGCCTAGCAACCCCTTTCAAATGACGCCCTCGCGGAGCCGCAGCTTCTCAACGGCCAACGCCGAGGCCCCGCCCCTCCCAGAAAGCCCCGCCCCTCCCAGAAAGAGTTCCGTGTGCTCGCCGCAGGCTCAGCTCTCCCTAGCCCGTCTCGGTTGCCCATGTGCCGCGTCACGTGAGCTGTCAGATTGCTGGCCGCGTGTCCGTCCCTGCGCCACCGGCGCTTGGGCCACGCCCCCTCTCGCGCCTCTACAGCTGCTAGTTCTAAGCCACGCCCCCCCGCTGCTGCTGCTACGCCGCCTCCCAGTCCTTTCCTGTCTGTTGCCTCTGCTTCTGCGGTTTCTCCCGGTTTCATTCCGCGCAAGTCCTTGTTTGGGCGTATTGCTTGCTGCTTTTCTTTCCTGCCCAGGGCTACTGGTCATATAACTGGGTCTGAAGAACTGAAAATGTGGGATGTTCATAACCAAGGCGGTAGATTTTAACCAGTAGGGAGGAGGAGGAAGCTTTTTTCACACCAGGAAAAAAAAAGGACACCTGTTGGATTTCTGGTTGTTCCATTGAAGGTGCAGGCATCTGGTTAGAAAATTGCAATGATAACTTTGGAGAATTCCTCCAGACTAATACACAAGCACAGGTCACTATGATGAATTGCAACTGCGGAACAAAGAGAAAGATTCCCCTCCTCCTTATTTAATTTTACTTATCTTTGTCCACCCACCTTCCCAACCTACTCAATATTTGTACTGGAGCAAAGGCTTATTCCTCACAGAATTGGCTCATGAGGTTGGAAGCAATCTATCTCCTTACAATCTTCAAAAAGCTCCCTTCATTTCTAATTTGCCATATCAGTCCACCCTAACATAATAAAACACACTGCAATAAATCATTTTTTAAAAAAAGACTCTTAAGGTTCTGTTCACACTCCTGCTTACTGTGCACATTCTGCATTTCCAATACTGGGTTTTTAATCCATATTCACATGACATCCCAAATGTGTATGTATCCTGCTTGTATTGTTTTTCAAACCAACTTCACACCCATTGGAATCCTTAAGCCATTTCTAATTCATCTCTAGCTAAGATGTGAACCCTTTTGCATAGGGTAAAGACATCCCCACCCTGTCATCGCCCGCTGGTATGTACACAAACAAAAACAAATTGAAGTGGTGCTGATATGAATTTAATTTACCTTTCATTTTATCTTCCAAAAATACATTTTTGGCAGAACTCATTTGTTTCAGATGCAGAAATCCTGGACTTCGCTCTCGGCGTCCTTTAATTTGTTCTTTTCCAATTTATCTGAACATTCTACAACCTTGTAGTAACCAGAGTATTTGCCCAGGGCTATCCAAAGAGGGCCATATTTTAAGAATGTGTATCTGTGTGCACAGGTTCCTAATAGATATTTGACATGTCACGTATTAGCCCTACATTTGCAGCTTACGGTATATTGAAAAAGCCATAATGAATAAACAAGAGGACTCTTGCAGCCTGAGGAGTTCCATGGTTACCTCATAACTCCTGCTTTATCGGGGAATTTACTTAAGTTGCTGTCTCTTTTTTTTGAGTTTTAGTTTAGTGTTTTGCTTACTGTTACATATGTGTTTTTACATGAATAAAATGTGGTTCCTTTAGCTGTTGTCGGACTTCAACACCCAGCAACCCCAGCCAGCAAGGCAAATGGTCAGGGATTGTGGGAGTTGCAGTCCAACAGTTGGAGAGCCATTACTTCACCATCCCTATGTTATGTTTCTAGAGGGTGCAAAAGAGTTTTCAGAAGACCATGAAAGAACATTGGGAACAGAGAAATATGTCGTTAATTTTTTAATCCTCAGTTTAAACTCAGACATTTCTTACAGTGAGTTCATTTTGCAGTTTTTAAAAATAAGGGTCTTTCTTGGCAAAAAGGCATGCATGTTCTATGAGGATTTTATTACTAGAGTATTAACATTTGACTGAAAATGTGGAGAAGTGCAACATAATGCAAATAACAAGTAAAATTAACTGGCGTGCAATGTAATTTGAACAAAGTAGATTTTCATAATCTACAATGTCTGCTGAGCACTTCTCCAATAATTTGCATGTTGCCAGCCTGAGTTGTTTTGCTTTGATATTGGAAAAAGTAGTTGTTGGACGAAAATCAATTTTATTCTTTGGAAAATAACAAAGCTTATAATCAGCAGGAGTTGGCAGTGATTCATATTACAATGGAAATTTGTTTACCTGACTGGACTACTTGATTAACATTGCAATCCTACTCCTTGTTTAAGCCAACCCAGGTGGGGTTAAGATTGCTCCTAAATCCACCTTTTTCAACAGAGCCTAGAGGTGCACTGGCATAAGGAATCTATGTGGGTCCTGCAGAATCCTTATGCTACCAGAGCTTGGTGACGTTGGAGAGAAGGTGGGATGAGGAACTGTTCATTTACATAATAGCGAGCATTTTGTATTGTTAGTGTTTTTAAACCTTCTCTAGTTTTAACTTGTTATTTTATTCTTGTCAAACTGCTTTGAGGCTTTTTTACTGTAAAAAGCAACTGATAAATGAAAGCAATAACAACACCCACTTACCTATTCTCACGCAGTCTCACGTGCAGCAACAGCGTACCAGTACACCTATAACAGAGGTGATGAAATTAACAATACAGGCAACTCCCAAATTTCATGGGGGGTTACATTCCAAGCACCACGCGTTTAAGTGAAAGTGTGTACGTATATTTGAAACACAGTTGAGAAAGCCTGCAAACACCCCATTCTGCCCCCGCCCCATTGTGCCCCTTTTCATGGAGTTTTTGTGACATTTTTGGGTCACTTCTTTTTCCTTTAAATATTTTATTATTATTTTTTGTAACAGTTTGTAAAAACAATTATCCAATTTTACATTTTTCAATCCCCGCCCCCCATTGACTTCCCTCATCTTCCCCTCCTTGGTTTGTTTCGTTTTTTTGTTATCATCTGCATGTTAATATACATAAAATGTTATTGCATTGTTTTTCTCCATATTTTACTTAAATAAAATGGTGAATGTTTATTCAAAACCTGCCAATGAGTCCATCTCTTTTTGTTGTTTCTGTAGATAAGTTGTAAAAGATTCCCATTCTTTTTTAAAGTCACTATTGTCATTTTCATGTAATTTGTCTGTTAATTTTGCTAATTCTGCATAGTTCATCAGTTTTTCTTGCCATTGTTCTTTCGTTAGTACTTCTCCAGTCTTCCAACCTTGAACTAATAGAATTCTTGTCACTGTTGTAGCATACATAAAAAAATTTCCATTTTTCTTTCTGCAGTTTTTGACCTGAAATACGGTACCCAGCAAAAAGGCTTCTGTTTTTTTCATTTTTGGGTCACTTCTGGGTTTGTCGTGATGTGTGCATGCACAGTTCTGCACCTATCGGACACACCTAAAACTCCTCTTCATCATCAGTACAAAGACTCTGGATTCAAACTATGGTAATTCTGCAGGTAGTCACAGCATATCACCAAGTAGGTTTGTCACCAGCTCCTTATTTAGGAATACATTTTTTGTGCTAAATGAGGAACAGGAAGCAAGCCTACTGCCAAACAACCGTCTAAACAAATCTCCTTTACTCAGAAGGTGATAGCAATGATGGTTGCATGCATACATTGTAAGTATGCGGGATTCAGAGAAGAGCTTCATTTAGTGGCAAACTCCACACCTAGTATGCACTGGTCTTATTGTGCATGGATGAAGGCTGCGGGGAGCATCTCCTATTTGGATCTTTACTGTTGCTTCCCGTTCATCCATTGAACCAAACTTATTGGTCTTCTTATTCCCTTGTGTCTTGCTTGGCCATATTTTCTCTTGCTTTGTTGAGTCCCCATATCCAAGAACTATATCAAACTTTCACGAAAGCAGCGATGAGAATTATAATTGCTGCAGCTCATTACAGGCTGCTTGTAGAGTTACAGGCACTGCTATTTTGCAGATGATTAATGGCTTGTTCTGCTAGGGATTGTCCAGTCATTATACAGTCAAGGCTTGTTCCTGAAACTGGGAGCCTCTCATCTAGGATTAGAGCAAGAAAACAGAGATAGGGAAGCTAACACATAATAGGAAGTGGAGGGTGGAAAGGCCTCATCAGAGCAACAAACATTAGCAGTAGTCCTTTCCTGCCACCTGCCTGAAAACTGTATCAGTGTTTTCAATCCACTGAAAGACATTAAACCTGATACTGCTATTTTTGTAGTTTATGAGAAGGAAATCCAAATGATTTCAGACAGCAAAGTGAAAATGCTGACTGGGTTTTCTCATGCCAAGTTCCAGTTTTCAAATTGCAAAGTAGAATCCTTAGGATAAATTATGTTACAATTATCTGTGCTAATTTATAAGGAGGTGCATGTGCATAGGCAAGAAGACGATGTCTATAAGGAAGTTTTCTTGGTGCCAGCTCTGACATTATTTCAGTGTCAGGCAAAAACTGTATTGCCAGGCATCCTGCTGAGTCTTGCTTCTTGGGGTGGAATTAGTTTTACAGGTCAATTATGTGGTGTTCATGACAATGGAATGGGGGTTCTTGCGAAGGTTTTCTTTATGAATAAACCAGTGTTTTTAATTTTGAATCCCATGTGTTTTGTATTTGAGATGTGCTATTTTTATATTATCCATCACCTTGAGATGATTCATGTAAGGTGATTCATACCTAATAAATAAATCACATGGAATCTGGTATCCAGCCATTCTTGGCAATGAAATATTAATTCCTGGTTGACATTTTCCTTCAAGACAGCCGAGTCTGAACGAATGCTGTGTTTTGGTGGTTATCCGTCTAACCTAGCCATAAGGCAGACAGAAGAACATTACATCTTGCTGCTTTAAAGTAGATATTGCCCCTAGGTTAATGGATCTGATGTTATTTCTAACCTCCTTCCACAATCCATACTAGTGAAACAAGGAGTGCTATCCTATCCAGAATGAAGTCCCATTGAGTTCAAATAAGCATATTTCCAGGTTAGTGTTGTTGAGTTCAGAGGCCTGAGGCTATATTAGAAATGAGAACATGGACCGAGACTATGGTTTTAAATGAAGATGTTTGTTTTAGAATACTTCCCTTGCTCACAGTTACAGACGGATGCTCTTCCTTCCAGAATACTCTATGTCCTGGGGTGGACTAGTCTATGCTTAGGACAGAGCCTTCTGGAATCCTGGTCTGGATCAAGGAAGGAATCTGCCATATACATTATATAGGATTGCAACATTATACCTTATTTTACTCTGGAATGCATCCCTTGTAAATCATGGAGATGTGAGAAAGGAAAGCCCATTTTTAAAATGAAACATTCATTCTAATGCATATACATCTTACATTCAAATAGCAGATGCATTAAATGCAAAACCAAAAAATGATCCAAGTGTTACTTGCAGAAACCACATTCCATATTCTATCTGCAAAAACCATATTCCAGATACTATATCAGGCATGCAATAGGATGGGTGCCAGTACAACCATCACAGGCATATATGAAAGAAATGCAGCTCTTCATTCGACTCCCTCTGTACAAATATATGCCCATGCACATGGTGTTCTGCTGCACACACGTTTCTGGGGTGAATGCAATTATTTCAACAAACCAGTTTGAGATCATCACCTCTGTATGAGTCACATTTTTTAAGTTCAAGGGAGTGCCACTAACATGCCCATTCTAAAATATGTTTGAAAAGTAGATTGCATGCATCAACTTGATTAACAATCATGTTGTTTTCATGATAGACACTCTTGATGTACAATTTAATGATACAGAAGTATGTTAACACACACTGTAAAGATAATGCCAGTAGAAGGAATTGATGTTCAGAGTTTTCGCTATTGGGTTAATGTCAGAATCAGACAACACAGAGAACAATTTAAGTTGCTTACTGGTGGTGGAAAATATAGTATTGTGTTTCATTTGTCTTTTGTTGATTGCATTATAAAAGGAAATTGCTAATCAGGCCTTCCATTGTTGTGTTCACGCAAATAGTAATAAACTTTGTTGTTTTCCATAAGGTGACCCCTTACAAGCTGTGCAAATCTCTTGTGAGAAAATGGGATGCAGCTGTACAAATCTTTCTGTTCTGGAGCCAAAAAAAGTAATAGACCTAACAACTATGAAGCAGCTGAAACCCCTATGCACATGAGCTATGATGGCCAGTGTGTTGAGGGGTTTTGACTAACATGATCTGTAAGAAATGCCAACAAGGTGGTTCTGATGACTTGTTCACTCCCACAAAGAACAGAATTCTGCAATCTCCAGTGCACTGCACCTAGTGATAATCAAATCTTATTGTAGGATCTATATTCATGGCCGAGTCCTGATGCTATTTTATTTTATTTTATTTTGATTTATTGATACATTGTACTTTTATTATATATTTTATTTGCATTAATATATATTGTTGTTAACTGCTTTGGGGGCCTTGAGTTAAAAAAAGCATTATATAAGTAAACCATACCATATATTCTTTAGCATTTGAATCTTGTGGTAGTTCAGTCAGACAGGAGGTTGTAATGGGGTGGGGGGCAGTCAAAGATAATCAGCCATTAAATGGCCAATCACTCCCATGAGTACTAAGCATAGACCATAAAAGTGAGGTCTTTACCCTTCCAGGAGGAATGGCTAAATGTAGTGAGTTGGGGCGAATCTACACTGGTTGGTTATAACGCTAAAAATGTGTTATAAAAATGTGACACCAGAGGGCGCTGCAGAGCAGCAATCTGTTGGCAATGGGAAATTGCATTGAGAGCTATATAACTTTTTATAAATAGCCTTCAATAGCGTTTTTACAGTATAGATCAGGCTTCCTCAACCTTGGCCCTCCAGATGTTTTTAGCTTACAACTCCCATGATCCCTAGCTAGTAGGACCAGTGGTCAGGGATGCTGGGAATTGTAGTCTCAAAACATCTGGAGGGCCGAGGTTGAGGAAGCCTGGTATAGATCCATCCTTGGACTGGTCAGCCTCTAAGGTGCCTTCCAACTCAAAATCTGTTTCTAGACTGAATTATAAGGCAGCTACATCTCATTTGAAGTTTAGTAAAGCATGAAAGCATGGACCTTGCCAACAAAGGTCCGTATAGTTAAAACCATGATTTTCCCAGTAGTGATGTATGGAGGTGAGAGCTGGACCATAAAGAAGGCTGATCGCCGAAGAATTGATGCTTTTGAATTATGGTGCTGGAAGAGACTCTTGAGAGTCCCATGGACTGCAAGAAGATCAAACCTATCCATTCTTAAGGAAATCAGCCCTGAGTGCTCACTGGAAGGACAGATTGTGAAGCTTGAGGCTCCAATACTTTGGCCACCGCATGAGAAGAGAAGACTTCCTGGAAAAGACCCTGATGTTGGGAAAGATGGAGGGCACAAGGAGAAGGGGATGACAGAGGACGAGATGGTTGGACGGTGTTCTCGAAGCTACCAGCATGAGTCTGACCAAACTGCGGGAGGCAGTGGAAGACAGAAGTGCCTGGCGTGCTCTGGTCCATGGGGTCATGAAGAGTCGGACACGACTAAACGACTAAACAACAAAAGCATGAAGAGTCATGGTGTGCAATATGCACTGCATTACTAAACCAATACTAATCTCAGTGTAGTATTTTTGAAGATGCACATTAATTATCCTGCTAGCAAGAGCTAGTGGAAGAAAGGCGTTAAGAATGTTAGATTAGCCCCAGCTGGGTAGCTCACTGAGTGACCTTGGAGCAGGCACACCATCTTTGCCAAAGCAACTCCACGGGACCATGTACAATACACTTTGGAGAAAGGTGGGATAAAAATGTAACAAATAAATATAAAGAAATATTTACATCTACCTCAGAAAGCTAAATAAAAGATAATTTCTTCAGTTAGTGGGAAAATAAACTGTATGAATATAACATCGTCAAAATTAGTTACATTATGATAAAAGAAGGAATACAACAATGTAGTTAGATTGTTCAGGACTGGAAAGCATTTATTTATTGAATTCATACATCTATAAATGTGTTTAATTTTTTTGTAAAAGTGCATAATTTAGAAAAATTATAATCATGGCTGCCACTTTTTTGTAATGTATTTGCTTCTTTGAAATATATACTTAAAAAAATAGCAATGTATCAAAATATGACTTAGCACATAGATGCTCAGGTCCAGAAAAGGAGCGCTTTATGAAGAAGCAGGCCTCTGCATGCGGGTTTCTTGCTAAATCAGGAGCCACACATGCCTCCAAAGAGCAATGTGAATCCACTGTGATCTTCATTCACACTCTATGGTGTGGCATTCATTTGCTCATCCATTCTTTACAGCTACTTCATGAGAACTATTTGACACACATTTTATTCCTACGTTCGTTTCCAGTTCTGCAGGCATCTTGCTCACTTTTTGTCTCTACTCATATAACACGCCATGGTATGGATTATGCAGATTGATCTGGAGAGGTGGTAGAGGAAGAGCTGGTCCCAATGTGTGGGGTTTTTTGGCAGGCCACAAACCTCCGCACAATCCTGCAATCACGTGAAAAGGGTGGTAACCCCAAAACAGCAGCATGGCGAGGAACCAAGCTTTGCTGAAATGTGTTTAGACCACAATTTTCGCACAGAAAGAGGAACAAATAGAGTTTTCAGCAAAGGAGCACAGCTGGAAATAGCTTGAGTATTTCCCTCTAGGCTGTGGCTCTTACCAGTTACATGGGCTAAGAGGAGAACTCAAATATAGAGACACTACAAACACTCTGTGCTTAAGCTTTGGCTCACTGGGATCAGGGAATTGGTCAAACAAGTTCAGGGATGATATAGCTCCCTTGAATGGCAACGCCCATCAACTTTGGTGGCGCAGCCCCCTCAAATATTTTATTGGGAGGGTGGAGTGACCTCAGCCCCTAGGAGTTGGCTCCTATGTCAGGAAGTGCAGGGACTGTAAAAAAAATATTACTATTACAGTCCCCTGGAGCCTTAAACTTTTGAGAGAGAAGGTAGAATTAGCATCCAGTATTTGAACGAAAAATAGGAGACATTTTGAGGGGACAATGAAAACTCACTGAAAAATACAGTGTCAACAATAACTAAAGCGAAAGCAATCTAAACAGACCACACCAGCATTATGAGCTAGGCGAGAGCTCTGAGAAATCAGGCGAGCTTCTGAATGCTCACTGAGAAGTCATGATTACCAAGCTAGGTCTGAGCTGAGTGTAACTCACCCATCGCTATTCCTAACAGAGACCCGCACTCAATTGCATAACAAGCCAAGCCACCGGCACAATGGAATGCTATGCAGCGGGCGTTCTATTGATCCTTTTCAAAACAGAATTAAGCCTTGGATTTGGGGGAGTTATGCACAGACTTGGAACTGGAGAAGGGGCATTTCCAGTTGCATCCGGGAACATGTTTAGAGAATGTATGCATATTATTATACCGGGGGTCACCAATGTGGCACCTGCAGGTACCTACGCAGGCTTTTCCCGGTGCTTATAGGGCCCCATTCCTCCCCACCTCACTTCTCACTGAAATTAGGCTTGAAAGAAGCATTGTATTGTAGCCAGCCAAAATAATAGGTTGAGCTGTGTGTGTGTAGTAGGGATGGGGGAGAAATTTTATTCACTTTACATTTAAAGCTCAATTGGTCAAATTTGCACTCTCCAAAACAATATGAGAACCAAAACACAGCCATGCATGTATCCAAATGTTGTGATGCGGTTCCCCAACAAATGTTTACAAAAATGCATACGGCATATTGGGGAGAAATGGGCATAAAATGTAACATTATTAGTGAAAATAGCATGCAAAAACGCATTATATTAGAAGAAAATGCTTGCAAAAATGTATACATTGGTCAAAACTGCATACAAAAATGTGTTTATTGTGATAAATTCTTAAGAAAACACTTAAGAATTTTCACGAGGATCTCTTTTTTTTAATTGCAAGTTGCTGCAGAAATGTGGAGAACAGAATTCAAAAATGAGAAACTGAGAGAACCAAAGCTGGCAGGTCCTTCACTCTCGTGTGTGTTGTGACCACAGTTTTTCCAGTTTAGAAAAATATTGGCAACCTCTGTGCTGTACACACACACACACACACACACACACACACACACAAACTGGCACATGGACCACAAAACCAGCAACATATACAGTGATTTGCAAACACATGCTTAAAGCTGCCAGAGAATGGCTGTCCTGGGATATCTCTTCTGCAGTTGAAGCTTCAGTTTTTCCATTTGTTGTAATCCCAGCCCAAGAACCAGCCTGTGAATGTGGGGGGTTCGTAACCTTGCTTCACAATAACAAGTGGAGTCCCTTTATCTCGCCCAGAAGGATCAGTCTCAATGTAGCGTTTGGCTGAAACACATGAATATGCAAGATAGTAATCTGTTACTTTATCAGTGAGGAGGGAAGTAACTTGAACATTACAGCTCAAACACAGATCACCACCCGCAATCCCAAACTCTCTTCTTTGTTCACTGCAACAGACAGGCTGTTCTCTGTGCACCTCTTTTCACGTGTGTGTGTGTGTGTGTGTGTGTGTGTGTGTGTGTGTGTGTGGAGTGGCCTTGCCCTCGGTGGAAAGATATGTCCATATAGTTTTTCCTGCCCTCCACATCCTACCCTGGCTCCAGTATGTTGGTTCAGTGCACAGTCGCTGAAAACCACACCTAGCCTGCCCCTGCCCTGATCTGTAGCCTGCATCATAGATCAGAGGAATAGAAAAATCAGTGCAAGTGGTAAGTCCATGCCGGGGTAGCCATTTTCCTGGCACTGCTTCCTTCACTTCTAGGTTCTAAACCAGTGGTTCCCAACCTTTTTTGGGCCATGCCCCACCTAAGCATCTCTAAAATCCTCCCGTGACATATTCTTATTATTCAAAAAGTGAACTCCTATTCATGTGGAGGAAGCCTAAAAGGCCATTAACTGTTAATAACTCATTCTCGAATTCCACCCTTAAAAATTAAATTGCCCCCCTGCAGAGAGCGTGCCCCCACGTTGGGAACCACAGTTTTAGACCAAACTGGGATCACTGAATCTTCTCATATGGATATGTAAGCCAATCCTCTTGGCCATTATTCTGTTTCTGACTCCACAATCCTATGCATAGTTACTGGGAATAAATCCAATTAAATTAATTGGGACTTACTTCCAAGTGAAGATGCATAGGATTGTACTGCAATTGACCTATAGTACTATCTAAAACCCTGTTGCAAGCTCCATTGATTAGGTGCCGAAGGATCACTCCATCCCTTGAGTTGTAGGGTTCATTCAGACATTTTTCAAAATGCAGAAGCATCTGTGAAGGCCTCCTGCTCTTCAACGCCCACATCAGCATTCTCTTATCTTTCAACTAACTTCCGCAACTTTTCCAAATGAATGAGTTTATTGATTTCATTTTGAGCTGGATAATGTTATTTGGGTTTGTGTTGTTCGCTTTGATTTCATTGTTTGTCTTATTGTAATCTTGTTTGTAAACCACTAAGAGCTTTGTGCTACAGAGCCATCTGGAAATTTAATAGGTACACATTTTAAAAATGCAAAACAGATCCTGTCCATACAAAAGATCTGAGTCCTGCAGGCATTTTAATAATCAGCAAAATGCCTATTATTAAAACAAATGGGGAATGTGTGAGCTTTTATACTGCAAGGACTATTGAGGGCTACAGTCTGTCTCATGTGAGATACACATTGCATTGTCTTAATGATCCCCCCCCCCCCACATAGACCACCTAGGGCACCCATTGGGCTTTGGGCAATCAAATGCACACAGGACATGGATCTTAATAAGCCAAGATGCAAATTGAGGTTTCTGGATGTGCGTGCAGCTTCTTTGCTCTTCCTTTTTGTGGAACAAACAAACAAACCAGAAACTGTTCAGTAAACTATAGTTTCCCAGTTTTATCCAAACATGGTTAATTGTGTCTTTGGAACAAGCAAAGATATTAAGATAACTTTGAACCATGGGTTCACAACCTGGCTTGTTATAAAGCCAATAACCATAGTTTCCTGGTTCAGATGAAATGGAAAACTACAGTTAATTGAAGACTTTGGCCTGTTCACTTTTGCGAAGAGGATGCATGCATGGAAATTCTTATCTCAGCTTAGTAAGCTGAGATGTTAAGATCAAATTTGGCTTTTCTCACAACAGCGTCCCCAAATATTCCTTATCAAAGTGAATAATGCTCATTTAAACGAGACAGAGAAAAAGGGAGAGTTGGGGGGGGGATTTCTGTTTCATAACTGCTTTGATGAATTTTGTGGATTTAAAATGTTGCCATTTCTGTTGTACAAGGATACAGTTTTAAGTGACTATCATGCAGAGGTCATATGAAGAGGTCCATCAAATGATACATTGGGGGGGAAATAAGCCACGTTCCCAAATGCAGGGTTAATCACAAACACACACCAGCTAAACCTACAATTCTCCAGGGTTTTCACTAGCAGGTCAACAAGAAAAGTAGTGGTGTAATAACTCATACACAAATGAAGATGTCGTATATGGACAGAGGCTATCACTATGCCCCAAAGGTAATGTGGGACCAGGCCCAAAGTATTCTGGGTCAGCAGTAGTGGCTGGCACCCAGTGGGGCTGGTAGGGCAGAACTTCAGAAGGCCAACAGAACATGGAGACGGGGCAGTCACAGGAAGAGCCAAAGAATTCTACCTTTGCCCCATTATCCTCCCTGAGGATTTCTACATGGGCAACACGGAGACTGAGGAGGAGACTGACAGCCAGCGCCACCTTGGGAAAATGGCCTTTGCCTCTCCCAAGAGCCCCGTCAATGGGCCTGTCTGGGATCTGGATTGGCAGAAAGTAGGGGGGCAAACTGAGGGCTGACTGAGGCAATACCACATCTGCCCAAATAGGCCCGCCTCTACTGGGGTTACCTCTGACTACCTTGTCTGATTAGTATAAATAACTTGGGAGAAGCTCTTCAAATATCCCATTTCATTCATCTAAAAAAGACTGCATCAATTTTAATCATAGCTTACCTGATTTAACTGATTCAGTGCGTTCCGTTTCATTTGCATCCTTACCAATCCAGAGAAATATCTAGGATGTGATGAAGAAAGAGACTGCTTCAACAAAGTGGTATAAATTTGATGTTTCGCCACAGTTTGACCTGTACATAAAATACTAATGACCAGCATTCAAAGACAGGGATGATTTCTAGTCAATATTTAAAATTCAGCTCCATGATTTGCCCACCTCTGTGGGTTTGCAGTCCCATGGTCTTGAAAATTTCTTTCAGGCTGCATGTAGTCTTATTTCCACCTCATTTCTCTATTGGCCATCAACTTTTCCCAGTCTTCCCCAATCTGGTGCCCTCTAAATGTTTTGGACTCAGCCCACCCAGCATGGCAGTGATCAGGGATGATGGGAGTTGCAGCACAAAACATCTAGATGGCAAAAGGTTGTAGAAGTCCAACATTAATCTGTCCTCCTCTCCTTCAAGCCATTTGCACCCCTTAGGACAACAAAGGCTCTTCTTTCAGTGTCCACATCATCAGAGATGTGGCAGGTGGCTTCATGGGACAGGGCCTGCTTGGTGGTGACACTCCAATTGTGGCATGCTCTTCCCAGTGTGGCTTGCCTGATGCCTACTTTGATGTCATTTTGATGCAAGGCAAATACCTTTATATCCCCCCCAGTTTTGTCCATTGCTTTTGTGCACATTGAGCTCCTTGGAGGAAAGGTGGGATGTAAATATAATAAATAGCCTGGAAAATTGCCCCCTCCTTTTGCCTCCTGTTGGTTTCTGCTTCTCCTTAATTTCTCTTTCCCACAGAAAGGAAGAGAGAAAAGAGTCTGAAACTGGACAAAAAGGCAGAAGAAATGAGATGGTTTAGCCCAGTGCTTCCCAGAGTGGTTGGTACCACCCCCTGGGATTCCCCAGGGGGGTGTCAGGGGGTGATGGGGGGCTGGAGGTATAAATGATCATCAGGCTTTGAAAAGCATCTATCACTAGATCAAGTTCATCAGTTTTGTCAAATTAATTAAACTATGTAACTTTAATTGGATTTTGAATAAATGTGCAATTAACTGCTACTGTTTTGAAAGAAAAGAAAAGAAAATTGCCCCCTCCCGCATATGCTTCCCCAAACCATGGGCTTCCGGGGGGGGGAGGCTGTTGGCTCCTTCCCCCCAGATGAAGCACAATCCCCAGATTCCCAGTTTTCTTTGATTTATTTTGAAAGAGCAAGTTTTTAGTATCTGTAGAGCACGAGATACATGACAAAATGTGCAGGCACTCTTCTCCTCATTTATTTAGCAAGGAGCTTGCCTGCTCCCACTTTTCAGTTATGGATGCATATTTGTTGGTTGGTTTGGAGTGTTTACTTGTCCCTTTTCCCAGAAAAATTCCTTCGGATACCCATGCCCCAACCCTTAAGATGCTCCTAAGAGGCTGCATGCACTGTGGGCGACCTCGCCAAGTGAAGGGAGGTGGGTGTCTAGGAAACAGAGTTTTTTGGGGGGTTGCTAGTAGAACCCTGGCTAGGGAATACCTTTCCCAGAGAAGCTTGTCTGGCACCATCTCTATGGTCTTTTGAACACCAGGCAAAGACCTTTTTTTATTCACCCAGATCTTTTAATTGTGTTTTGAATTCAAGCTGTTTTATACTTCCTCTGGGTAATGGCAGGTTTCTGTTATCTTTTCAGCAGTTTTTTGCTGGTTTTAATTATGATATATTGCAATTTTTAGCATTATTTTGCTTGCACTCTGCCCAGGGAATATTTATTGATGGGCAGCTAAATAAACTGTGACAGAAGAACTAGCGGAAGAATGATTGACAGTAAGGGAGGGAATGGAGTTGGGACTGACTGCTAGCATGTGCCAGCTGAGAAATGAGAGTTGGAGAGTGTGGTTGTGAGGGAGAGAGAGGAGGAAATGAGATGAGAGAGATATTAAATTGCATATTTAGGAGAGTTGGGATAGCTGTTATGAAACAGAAGACAGTCAGCTACTATAAAAAAATTGTATATGAAGACCATTTGTGCTGAATATCATGTTCCTTAATTAAAGATATGTCTTACGTTCAACTGACTTGTTTTCTGGTTTGGGTGGATTCTCAGATACATAAATATATAAATAGTCATCTTTTTACTTTTGGCAGAGCATCTGCTAAGTTCTCCAGGTCATCTCTGAAAAAGTGGTGTGAATGACTCATTTAAACATGTTTTCAAGGGAATTGCTCAATAGCCAAGCCAGAGATGCCAAATGTCATGTTGAAATGGGCCCCAAGAAAGCCAAGAATCTAGGACATTCTTCTGGCAAATATAGTCATTTCTCAAATACATTCAAATAAACATCTTTTACAACTGCTTGTTTTAAAATAGAGGTCTTTCCCTCCCCCCACATCTCCTCCTTTAACTTCACTTCTGTGGAGTTCTGTGTGCCGTTCATTTCCTTCACAGCACATCCCAAGATTTTCTTTTATCATTCTTTGAACTGCTTTACACAACAATTCAGTTAGACCAGGGGTCAGCAACCTTTTTCAGCCGTGGGCCGGTCCACCGTCCCTCAGACCATGTGGTGGGCCGGACTATTTTTTTGGGGGGGGGAATAATTGGATTCCTATGCCCCACAAATAACCCAGAGATGCATTTTAAATAAAAGCACACATTCTACTCATGTAAAAACACCAGGCAGGCCCCACAAATAACCCAGAGATGCATTTTAAATAAAAGGACACATTCTGCTCATGTAAAAACACGATGATTCCAGGACCGTCTGCGGGCCAGATTGAGAAGGCAAATGGGCCGCATCTGGCCCACGGGCCTTAGGTTGCCTACCCCTGAGTAAGACCATGGCTACAGAATGAGCAAGGGATAGACTATACCATTTCAGACTAGAAATAGGGGTTGCCACTTTTGAAGGGAAAACAAAAACAAAAAAACAGAAGCACAGCTCCCTGCACATAAAAAGCTGGCATTACAAACCAGCCTGCTGTGTCAGTTTTCTATTTGCAGGTATCTTTAATGGGATCAGGCTTTGAAGATGTGATTACTCCATCTGCAACCTGAAGTGGTACAGTCCATTCATCTTACATGTCCTTCCACTTAATGCTGCTATAGGTGTAAACCAGATTGTATGTCTCTTTTGTCCCACACAGCTCCGTTAATAACATGTGCCTTACCTGATCCCAGGTATCTAGCAGCATGACGTCATCTTCAGCCAAGTCCTCCTGAGTGAATTCTCCAGGAACCTCCTCAATCTATATTTTTAAACGACAACAACACTTGGCGACATACGTTCCTGTATACAAAATAGCACAGACTAGTCTACAATGTTCTCTGATTTATGATTGGATGTTGAGGTAGAGTCCATCTTATGCTGGAAGTGGCAGAAGCTATTTAAGAGTTGCTGAAGATTGGGGGTCAAAATTGCAAGCAATGGACAGTATAGGTTGGAGTGCGGGAGGTTGAAAGGGAGAAATCACGGCCAGAACAGTTAGAGACTGAGTCACAGTCAAGATAATGCAGTCAGGCGTTCAGGACCAGCTGCAGCAAGGGGGGAGGCCAAAGTGTCAAGGGTTAGATTATATCTTGTCTTTATTGAGCATTTACTCTGATTATACAGTGGTTATACGGCAGTGAGCACTCATCCTAATTTGCTGGTGGGGTGTCCATATGGCTTTCCATTAATAATTTCTTCATCCCACACTTTCCAGTGCATTTCCCCATCACGTTCCAAACCTCAGAAAGGCTTCGTTCCTTTTTTTAAAAAATGGATTTGTTGCACAACAAAATGCTTTCATCTACTTTAATTGCACACACCTAAATTGATGTATGTGCTTGAATTCCTCCTACAAAATGGTGACAGTCAGGAGGCACCCATATTTTCACAAACCAAATAATGTGGAATACATCCTTCTTGGCCAATCAGAATCTAGGACTAGCCATAAGACACAAATGTTCCAGGTGGCATTACACCTATGGCAGCGCTTGTTATTTAGCTGTCTGGAAACTTACCCAGGCAGTGAATTTGAGGCTGCTGATGATTTATTTTTAATAAGCAATGGACATATTGTGCTTGCACTGAGGAACCAGGTTTAGAAAGGATTTAAATAAAGAATAAAATGCAGTAAATCTGTTAAATTAACTAGACACCCGGTGACATTACTTTATTTTTTAAAACCAATTAGCAGATTATTTTTTTAAAGAGAAACACTTTTTTGGTACAGAACATTGGGTTTTAGAAAATTAGGGCAGATGTGTGTGGGAATTTGCATTGCACTCGTTACTTGACTAATGAGTAAGCCGCCACAATTCGATACAATATAAAGCTACCAATAAAAGAAAATAGGATAGTGACTACTAAAAAGTTCATCTCCCTCTCCCTTTGTACACAGAGCAACTAGACTGCTGCTAAACGATAAAATTAAACTGGATATTTCAGTCCTTCTCATACAACTTTGAAACAAAATGTAAGCCCTCTTACACTGCAGAAAATATGTGTTTTCATAATCAAGCCAAACTTTGTTCCATTAATATGTTCTTCCTCAAAGCTTCCTGTGTTTTGTTCTGACTTAATTATATAGTAAAATTGGAAGATCTCAATGGAGTACCAGCTTAGTATGCAAGTATGTAGAGCCTATAAGTCAGTTGCTTCTTTCCTTCAGAGTCCAGATACACTTGATGGACACAAGGAGCCATGATTTATTAGACATTTAGGTGAAGCAATGAGCAGATAAGAATCTCTCTGTCTTATTTTTATTTAATTAATGTTATTGGTTATCAATGTTTGTATTATGAAAAGTGGTCCTGGAAAATGTTTCTTCTAGTTTTTTTTTAAATTATATGTATGTATATGCAGCACTGTGTGTATGTATGTATGTTTGTATGTATCGAAAGAGAGAAAGGGAGAGATTCAACAAAGCTTTCCTTGGAAAAAATGTTTTAATCCATGCCTCATGAAGATCCTTTGTGTGACCTACATTTTTATCCACCAGTGTTGACTCAGTTAATCAATATCTTCTTTGCTTATTCTGGGCTTGAATACTCAGAATTCTTAAAGGACCCTTCTGTTTTCACACCTATTACATTTCTCAAGGCAAAAGGAATGTATCGAACTCCAAACATAGCATAGCTATATATCCAGAGGTTTTCTGGCTCTCTTTGACAAAGCCTTTGAGCCACAGTGTATTACAAATAAAAATATATATACTGCTAGGTGGCTCAGTGGAAAAGGAGAAAAACACTGGCCAGAAGGAAATGAAAAGGGGAAAAATAAAAGACAGAATGGCAGGATTGTCAGTGGGTGGGGCAGCATTCCTTCGAAATATGATCAACTATAAGGCAGCCTACGTCTGAGACCTCCATGTTACGACAAACTTGCTCTATGCCCTGCAAATGATGTTCTTCCTTGCCCTGCAAAGGATGTGAGTAATCTCATTTAAGACCCAGAGATGGAATGACCATAGTAATCAAGGGACAGAGCAGAAACTATCTGCCATATACTTACTATAAACCTGCCGGTCTTATTAGAGCAGCCATAAAGACGTGGGGGATGGTCTTCGGACTCAGTCAGTAACTGTGCTGATGTCTGGTATTCTTTCTTTCCACCAAGGGCACTCCAAAATGGCTCTGGAAGATACAACAAAAACACTTCCTTGGTGAAATGCCCTGCGAGCAAGTGTTGAGGAAACAAGGTTGTTAGGGGTGTAAAATTTCAACACTGGGTGCTGCCTCAATACAGCTGTGTGTTTCCATCACTGGGCTCCTCCATGGAAACCAGGAAGTGACCTCTCTAGACAACAGAACGACTCTTCTTTTTTTAGCTGCGATCTCCTGGATGATGTGGACGCTGTTAGGCAGTTGAAAGTGCGTGCATACTCCGTCCATTTCCCTCCCACCCACCTCCTCCTCTGTATGGCCCTGGGCACTGGCAACCCATGCTACACCACTGATACGGCCAGTAATATTAGGAAGCCATTTTCCCGAATGTCAAGGACCGTGGACATTTCCTGCATCAAATAATAGAACGCTAGAATTGTAGAGTTGTGCTCACCTGGTTCCTGGCCTTCTTCAATCCTTGAGGTTTGGCACTTGAGGACACCAGCTACATACTGCGCCCCCTTCTCTTCTTCTCTGCTTGCTCCTTTCCCAATCCAGGTATAGCCAGCATTACTTGGCAGTTTCAAAACAAAAACATCATTGGAATTCAACGAAGTGGCATCCGCATCAACCTGAGACAGGAGTGAGATTGCATCAGTCTCCTGCTCAGAGCTGTCAAGTGTCCCTTATTTGAAGGGACAGTCCCTTGTTCCAGCACCATGTCCCGCTACTGTCCCTTATTGATAGATGTCCCTTAAATGATGTCCCTTAAATTTCAAAGGAAGTAGCTCCTCTCCCTCCCTCCCTCCCTGCCGGCCAGGGAGGAGGGAGGCTCCAACTGTGTTGTTTGGCTGTGTTGCTCACCCAATAAGAAGTCTAAGAACAACTGGGGGGTGGAGCTTGCATGCCTTGTGTGTGGCTAGTTAATGCAAGCTGAGGGGGTTTTTGAATGCTGGACGCCATTTTGTTGCACATGCTGCTGCAAACTTTGCAGTGCAAAGCCAGGCCGGGGAGCCATCTTAAGTTGAGGCTGCATAGGCCTTGTGGTGCATGTGATTCAGATTCTATTCAGTTGAACCTCTGGTTACAAAGTTGGTTGGACAGTGTTCTCAAAGCTACCAGCATGAGTTTGACCAGACTGCAGGAGGACAGGAAGTCTGGAGTGCCTGGAACAGGTGAGGCTGCAGGTCCCTTATTTTGGCTGCTGGTCCCTTATTTTCAAGGCTGCTGGTCCCTTATTTTCAAATCTGTAAGTTGACAGCTATGCTCCTGCTTCTTCTTTTTTTATTTCTTTCCCATTTTTGTAGTTTGCAACATTAATTTAAGCCCAGAACAATCCCTCTGACTTCACAGGTGCCACTCAAGATGCAAGCTCTTAAAGGCCAACACAAAGAGAGAGTCCTAATTACAATGTTAAAAATAAACTAGCAGTGAAGGGAAGGTTTTGATGTACACACATCTCCACTCCCACCCAGCAAAATAAATAACAACAACAACAACAACAACAACTTCTTCTTCTTCTTAGGAAAGAGCTTTTGGCAAGACTTTCAACTGACTCATAAAAGTTGGATCTGGATAATACTGAAAAATACATACGAGCTTCAATATAATCCAGTTTCAGTGCAGCAATGATACAACCTAGTCAGCAAACATTCATATGTGGGACCTGAAATCAGTATACTGGGCCATTCAGCTGAATGGTTGCACAAATGGAAGACATTGCAAGGATGCCCAGTAGCACAACAGGACTCCCTGAATCTGCTCCAGAGGGTCAAGAATGTCTCTTTTCTGAAGCCCTGGAATGGTGCTGCTTGGGCCCGTCCATACCTTGGTTTCATGTGGATTGTGAACCCCTCACGCCCATTTTAATTCCCACCTCATATGGCATTCTTCTACAACGACTGCTACTCCACCCTATCTCTTCCCTAAATCTGGAGATTCCCCATGCTTTGAAAATCCAGAGAGGAGGGCTGCTTTGATTGCATACATACGGAATCAATGTATTCAGCAGTGAGCTAGATGAACCTCTCTCAATAGAAAACAGCTTGCTAGGGTCTTATCACACCTTTCTACCTGACTGGGGCACATCTGCATGCAGACACACATGTCTGCTACCATCATATCTAGCTTGTCCCCAGCTCTGGAATTTGGTGTCCGTTTCATCTTGCTACACGGAGAACAGGTTTCTGAACGCCTATTTCTTACCTCGACAATCCTGGTGATGGATGCTAGGTTCCTGCGGATTTGGAACAAGCGTGTTGGAGCAGCAGGCTTCTGTCCGCCTTTCTTGGATGTCCCATCCTTGTAAACAATGAGCGGTTTGTCTTTGAACAAACTCAACAAGTGCAGGGGCTCCTTTCCTTGGCTGACTCTGATCTGCAGCGACGTTTGAAGGGAACAGCACAGAAACAGATTTTTACGAGGCTGCCTGCTGCCCTGGCCTGCCCTGGCCAACAGATGCTTCGCTGGAAGTTGGCAAGAATGAAGAGTGGCACGTTTCTCTTGAATAATTCAAGCTGACGTGACTACAGTGTGTGTGTGCAGCCGTGGCGTTCTAAACCTGCCTCTCACGGAAGCAGAAACGCAGCGTGCCATTGCAATCTAAATATTCCTCATATAACATTCTGGTGTGCGCATGTGTGTTTGGTTCAGATTTGAGATTTGCATTTAAATGTAGCAGGAAGCAGCGCCCTGTTTGTGTACCTGCCTGGAGCCGGGAGAAAGGCAAGGAGCATAAAGCCACCTGGGAATGGAAATGCACCAAGCAGGCTGATTATCAAGAAGGCTGCCGTTAAAGAAGGAAGCGAGAAGAGCTCTTTCTTAGAACTGATCCCTGGAATGCATTATCAATTGATCTTTGGGGTGCATTATCTAATAATAATAATTTATTATTTATACTCCGCCCATCTGGCTGGGTTTCCCCAGCCACTCTGGGCGGCTCCCAATCAAATATTAAAAACACAATACAGGTTTAAACATTAAAAACTTCCCTAAACAAAGCTGCCTTTAGATGTCTTTTAAAAGTAGGACCATGAATCCTCCCACTCAGGTACCAGATAGTTCAATGCTGCAGGAGTGGGCAGGAGTGTTTGGACTGACTGCTCACAAAAGGAACAGATCTGCCCTAGCGGCTGAACAGGATAGCAGGGGCAGGAGATCAGGAACCCACCTTCCTCACAGGTGAGAAGGGGGGAAGGGACTGGAATCTCCAAACCCACCACAATAGGCATTTCAGCCTGCACAGAGGCAGACATTAATCCATGTCAGTCACAATCTCATTGGCGCCCTCCACAATTTAGTCCACATTCTGTAGCGCAGTGTTCCCTCTCAGTGCAACTTGGTAATTGTTCAGATCAAGAGAAACTGTTCAGATGTCCACAGACTGCAGGAAGTTCTTCCTTCTATCTCCCCACAACCCGTGCAGGACTTGGAAGCCAATTTTTCGCCCTGCGCTCCTTGCAGGTGGTTACAATTGAGGCTGCTCTGACAGTGGGATGTACAGGTGTGATCAAGGGAGGAGTTGGCCAAATGAAACCAACTTCACACACCAAGAATTGCCTGTGCAACGGAGAAGGCAATCATTTATAGGTCCAGCAAAGACTCCCAGGGAAATATGGTGCAGGACTACTTACAAAGATAAACAATATTTCAAGAGCCTCCTTTTATTGTAATGTAGCCTGCAGTGCCATCTAGTGACAAAAAATATAGTTTCACCACAAGTGTATTGTGATTAAGGATGGAAGGTCAGTTTTGGTTTCTCTCAGGTTCTCATTTTTTCCAGTGTGAAGCTCAGTTCTCCACATGAGTTTGCTATTTTGTTTTTCCAAAAAGCCCTCCTAAAAAACTCATCAGCACTGTGGATTTCTCCTGACACCCTTCTGTATGCAATTTTGCCTAATATACACATTTTTGCAAAGCGGCTTCTGTTAATATAACGCATTTCCGCATGTTCTTTTCACTAATATATGCAGCTATGTTAACCTTTTACACTAGCAAATGCATTTTTGTTTATATTACTTGGCTGCAGAAGTGTGTCGTTGAAGGATAACTGTATTTTACTTTGCATTATTGTTTCAGAAAGTGCAAATTAGGTCCGACTTTACATGGGAACTTAATGGAATTTCTCTTCCCGCACCAACCTTAGTTGTGATCCTGTTTTTGAATAGGGGTTAACTAAATATGCAATGAAGGGGGAACATACAGAAGTGGGCATCTCAATCTCCCTCCGTGTGTCCACAAGTCACAACCTGCAATGGCAAAGTCTCCTATACCCTGCTTTTCTAGGGTTTCCAAAGGCACAGGAGCTCCCACAAGTACAGGGTGTGTGTGTTTGTCTTTCCCGCTTACAGATAGTTGCCCTTAAATCATTTGGAGGATAATAGGGAGCATGGGCTTCCAGCCTTTCTCAACCTGTGGGTCCCCAGATGTTGTTGGACTACAACTCCTATCACCCCAGATGGACAGAGCTCAGGGATGATGGGAGTTGTAGTCCAACAACATCTATCTGGGGACCCACAGGTTGAGATGCAAGAAATAGGTTGATGTATGCAAGAAATAGAATGTAGCTTTCAAGTTGCTTGTGTGACCTCCTGTTTGCACCATCAATATTTTCAGGTTCATCAGGAAGGCACTAACCTGGACTGCGTGCCCGTCTAGTGACCGGTCGAGCTGAACTGTCAAGAACGCTGAAGTAGTCAACTCATCTAGGGTGGCATGAGCTCCTTGCCTGTGGATGGAGAAGACGTAGATAAAACGCAAGTCCCCTTTGAAACGTGAAGCTCCTGACTATAGGAGTCAAAGCACAGGGGAGTGGCAGAGGTGACCAGCTGGGAGAACCTGCAATTGCCTTCGGAACTGCAAAGCTTACCCCCCAAATTAGTAGCCGACCCCATCCAAAAGATTCAGGGAGGTTATTGATAGGGCAGTATTAAGTATGGAGCATGTGGGACCTGAAGAGATCATGGATTAGGTGATCACTCATTTATCCAAGAACTCCTCAGGTCAATCCCTTCAGGTTTTGCTCTAGAATGTAGAACTGGGTTATGCCCCACGGTTTGAGGCAGGACGGCTCTTCCCATTGGCCAAAGTTGGAGTGTCCCTATTGCAGATTTAGCTATTTAAAGCACAACTCAGTCCGATTCTGAAGGCCTGATGCAGGCAGAGTGTTATCAGGCAGAGTGAGGTGGCTCCTTCAGGTGGCAGATTCTGGGGTGGGGTGGGGGGAGAGGATGTTTCAGCTGCCAGTCCAATCAGCTTCCAGTTATGGAATGGGGGAGGGATCTTTTTGCCCTTTGCTCCAGGCACCAAAACATCTTGCGGCCGCCAAAGGGGATACTGGTTTTCAGAGAGGCTCCTTGCAATGCATCAAGGATAAAAACAACAGTAAGCTAAGAAGCAGCATGGCTTCCATTAAACATACCATGTGTAGATTATCTGTCCTTTGGGATAGGTGTAGAGTATGATGTAGCAATCTCCACCATAAAACTGCCCATAGCTCTGAGGTTCCACAGGGATTCTGCCATTGCTTTCGACGCGCCAAATCTAAGACATGAAAGATGTCACGGGGGAAGAGCATTTGCAGAATTCTCAAAACAGAGCATTTTGATAAGGTGACAGATTCAAGAGAGTTGGTTAGCTGTGTTAGTTGCTGCCGAAACACTAATCTGATTTATTGTAGCTGAAGCTTTCATGCACTGCAATCAATTCCCATGTAAACAGTAGGTCCAAAAGGCCATGAGATGTATTCTATCACTATTAGGGATCACAATCAATTATCGTTATCAGGGATTGAACCTGAGACCTTCTTCAGGCAAAGCAGATACTCTACCACTGAGCTACATTAATTCCCCTAAATGTAAATATAGTAGGCTCCAGTATAATACTGTTATATTTTTGGTTACCCTCTAGAAATCAATAAATGGTAGGATTTTGATTATTTGGGATATGAAAGGAGAAATACCAGCTGCAGAGGAATTCCTAGGCTGCGTATGCAAAACGACCTGGCCGAGCAAGGCCCATTAAGAAACAATACAAGGCCACAGGCAATAGAAGAGAACTGTGCTTTCCCCATTGCCCTGAGGTGTGAACAGAGACTGGGTGTTTGGAATGCTGTGAGGTGACAGGGAAAGGGAGTCTTTGACAAAGGTTGCTGTGTAGGAGGAGGAAGAAGAGAGACTGGGATCCATCTTGGGCAGGCTGGCTGCAGGCCTGCTGGGAGAGAGGCCTTGGGCTCCAGGGCTGCATTGATGTGGGGTCCAAGCCTGTCTTGAAATGACCATGCTGTAGGATCTGGACTCCCCCCCCCATGCAAACTGAAGGTGTAAACAGGTGAACAAAGCATATTTCTTAAAGCTATGACATACGCCTCTGTGTCTTGATTGAGCACAGACCCTGAAGTGAGTGCCTGGAGCGCCCTGGACTCTTGCTACTGCTTGGCAAAGATTGGGGGGAGGCACCCAACTTTTGTAACAATGCTAAAAGCAGAATTCAGAACAGAACCTCTCCACACCTGCAGCGGATTCTGCATTCAGAGGAGCCCTTCCTCCATTTACAGGGTTCTGATTCCAGGTAATTCTCAGACTCAATTGTATGTCACATATACAATCTAGTCCCCACCCCCCATAAAACCATGTACTAGATGTATTTGTATGGGAATGGGGAAAATAGGTACAAAGTACATTCGTACCTTGGAAGTCAAACGGAATCCGTTCCGGAAGTCTGTTCGACTTCCAAAACATTCGGAAACCAAAGCGCGGCTTCCAACGGGCTGCAGGAAGCTCCTGCAGCCAATCAGAAGCCGCGGAAGCCCTGTTGGACGTTCGGGTTCCAAAGAACGTTTGCAAACCGGAACACTCACTTCCGGGTTTGCAGCATTCGGGAGCCAAAATGTCCAAGTACCAAGGCGTATGACTGTACTGCAAAACTTCGACCGTAAAGCAGAACAGCAGCTAAAAGAGAAATCCAGGAGCTAGATGTCAATAAATACCTCCACTTTCCCAGAGCCATCGTCCACCATGTTGTGCTGGGCTGCCATCTGCGGAGACTCGTGCAACTTGGTAGCGTCAAACTCAACCTGCTCAATCCTCGCCACTCTCTCTGTGACGTACACTTTTCCAAAGCCATCGCTTTGATCCTTATCTTTCCAGTCTCTAAAGAACTGCTTGAAGATCGGTGTTTCACCTCCTTCTGGAAGAACCTGAATCTGAAACCAAGAAGCAAAGGGTTGGAAAGCCTATAACTGACAGCTCTCCTTCTTTTCTAGTGTACCGCTGTGTGCTAATGTATGGGAGAAGAGAAGCAGTCGCCAGTTAATCCAATCTCTAAATATATACCAGGCAGGAGCAAGGGCTGACAAGTATGGCCAGTGATTAAGGGTGATGACAGTCCTGCAACTTCTGGAGTGCTGCAGGTTCCCCATCCCCAGTTTATAGTTTTGCCACTTTTCGCAATGGTATATTTCCTTAACATGCTGCCATATCAGAAGGGGGAGTGTATTTGAAATTTTAAGTGAGATTGTTCCTAGACTGGCCTCATCATTGCTACCTCAGCCCCCTATACCAGGTTGCTCACCCGAGCAAGACAGTTTGAGCATATTACACTGATCCTGGTCAGACTACACTGGCTACCAATTAGTTTCTGGGCCCAATTCAAAGTGCCGATTTTGACCTATAAAGCCTTAAATAGCTCAGGACCACTATTCCTCAAGGACCACCTCTATCCATATGAGCCTACCCAGACACTGAGATAATCTTCTGAGGCCCTTCTTCGTGTGCCTCCTCCTTGAGAGGTCTGGAGGGTGGCAACACAAGAACAGGCCTTCTCTGCAGTGGCTCCCCATCTGTGGAATGCTCTCCCCAAGGAAGTTCACCTGGTGCCTTCATTACACACCTTTAGGTGCCAGACAAAAACATTCCTTTTTAACCAGGCCTTCGGTTGACCTGATCAACATCCCATACCCTTTTAAAATGTAGCTCTTTTGGGGGGCATTATTGGGTTATTGCTTTTATTTTAATTTTATATACTGTGATCCTTTTATGTGAACCACCCTGAGACCTCCGGGTATAGGGCGATATATAAATAAATAATAATAATAATACCAGTGGCTGGCCTTATATAAACTATACTAAGGGTAGTTTCAGACTGCCACTGTTTTCTGGTGTGATTTATCCACATACCAGCAAATTCAGGTTGCACAATTCAATTTGAATTGGTGCTCTCACACAACAAAAATGCTCCCCACCTACCCCTGCAAAACCACACCTTTTGCAACAAGAAAAGTGGCAGGAAAATGCACCCCAAAATGTGAGGTATCAATTGAAGCAACATCATCTAGCCTCCCTGGAAACAAATTAGGATGAACAACAGACAAACAGGTCATCTGGAAGTGACCTTAGTCACCTGTGGGGGTTTACTTGAGAAAAAACAGAAAGTACGGTTGTTCCTTGCATAGGTATACCTGAGTGTTGGCAGGATAATTCATTTGCTGAATGAATTCTTCAGCCGATTTCATGGCTGCTTTTCTCTCACTTGGATTAGCATTTTTACCTTGTTAAAACAAAGCAGAAGGAAAAATTACAATGGCAAAAGGAGAGCGAAACTCCCAGAAGCCTTTGTTGATTATAATAGTAAATTATAATATTGTAATGTTAAAAGAGAAGCAAAGAGATTTGCCACATACCTTTCCACACAAATATCTTCCTAGCTACTCCGTGATCCAGTATAAAGCACTCTTCAGACAAAAGCATTGCCCTCAAGAAAGGATTCTCCTCTGCAACAATCGAAACCTTCATGGATCCACTGGCGTCTGATACCTAAGGATGCAGGACATTCACATTTAGATCAGCTACAAATCTGCATTCAAGTAATTAAAAAACAAACAAACACATATTGTCATGACTTCGAAAGTTGAAACAGGGTTCTGTTCAGAAACAGCCCTGTAGTAAGTTGGCGATTCTGCTCATACCATGTAGAGTTTGGCACTTTTCCTGTTGGTAATATCAGCAGCCTCATCATCGTTATCATCACCCTCACGAAGTTCTGGTTTCCGTCCCAAGACCTTCAGAACGAAAAGAGAAAGAGAAAGATAAAATGCTCACCATCCATTACTCAAAGATCTGAATATCTTACTCCCCTTTCTGCATTTGAACGTATAATCTTGTTATCATCTGCTTGTTTGGCTATCTATTTGGACAGATGGACTGCTTAGATTAATGTGCCCGTTTAAATTAGGATTGATGGGCTATTCTTGTTGTTCACGTGAGCAGACGTTGTTTCCTTCTTCTTTTCACCATGTTTGCGATAAAAAGAAACAAAAGCCAAGCACCCAGACTCAAGTAAGTACCTTATTTTTTTGCTCTATAAGACTCACTTTTTCCCTCCTAAAAAGTAAGGGGAAATGTGTGTGCATCTTATGGAGAGAATGCAGGCTGCGCAGCTATCCCAGAAGCCAAAACAGCAAGAGGGATTGCTGCTTTCAGTGCGCAGCGATCCCTCTTGCTGTTCTGGCTTCTGAGATTCAGAATATTTTTTTTCTTGTTTTCCTCCTCCAAAAACTAGGTGCGTCTTGTGGTCTGGTGCGTCTTATAGAGCGAAAAATACGGTAAATAAACAAAATCAGAAAAAGAAAAATCCAGTCATTTTTAGCAATGGCTTTATTAGCAGCGTCGTGAGAAATCTGGGATAATTTTGAAAATTGAATTTTTTTTTAAAAAGATGTTGCATGATTTAGGGCTACATTTGGCATGGTACAAAAGTTCTGTGATGGGATATACTAACGTGATATTTTTCTTGGGCAATAAGCCAGTTGGGAGGTGATTTGAATTGGAGCCACAGTTCTAGGGGTGAGGAGGGGTGGGATTCAGGTTGTCACTCTGTGATGACGTCTCTCCAATAGACATCACTCCCAGATCCACCCAGACTCTGCTCTTAGCCATGAAGTGAGGAGGCAGGACAGGAACAGCGGTAGCTGTATATTTTCCTGTCCACAACTAATAAGCCTGGGAGTATGAATTCCTTTGGGAAAAGAGCATGGGAGAAGAATGAAAGCCCCCTTTCCTCTGTGCCACGGTTGCTCTGGAGTGTCAACATGCAGAGGGCCGCAAGGCCAGCTGGCTAGGCCCAACTGGGCCATTTCCTTCCAGCCATCTCACTGTGAAGACTCATCTGCTCCGACATAAATCAACGACACGGGCTTCAGAGCCAGGGCACACTATCAGCAGATTGAACTGCGCACACAGAATAGGCGTGAGGCTTGTGGAAGCATACTACAACTACAGATTTATTAATCATAAATCAGGACAAAGAAACATGTCGTCTCTCTCTCTCCCTCTTCTCAGAGAGCAAAAGCTATACACACAACGGAAGTTCCCAGCAAGCTGTGCTGGAATGTAAACAGACATGTGACACGCAACAGTTCCACACGTCTGCTCCTTAAGGTGGAATGGAAATCTCAACAAGGAGGACGCTGCCTGTGCAGGGTTGTGTGCTGGGGGAATCTTATCACTGCCTTCTTTGAGTGCCATGGCTGCTTCTGTGTGTGAGCAGCATATAGGTGCCATAAGCACAGTCCCTGACTGATGGGCTGTAATGACCTTTCCAGGGATGCTATGGTCATGTCTGTTATATTAACAGCTTTTTGCATTTTCAGGTTGTGGGTTTCCCCTCTCCGGGGCTGTTAATAACTTAACTGAGGCTTTCCCAACCAAGAATCCTACAGATGTTTTACATTCCCTCGGGCCCATCAAGTGCCTTTTTTTTAAGAATAAAAGGTGCCAATACTCACCACGAAGTTTTAACATTTTGTGTGTTTTTTTAAGGTGCCGTACCTTGGATCTCAAACACCTTGGCTCCCAAACAAATCGGCTCCCGAATTATCAAAACCCGAAAGTGAGTGTTCCGGTTTTCGAACGATTTTCGGAAGCAAAACGTCCATTGCTTCTGTGGCTTCCAATTGGCTGCAGGAGCATCCTGCAGCCAATCAGAAGCCGTGCCTTGGTTTTCGAACAGTTCCAGGAGTCAAACTCCTGAAATGCATTCTGTTCGAGAACCAAGGTACGACTGTACTGCCTACCCTTGAGTAAGGTTAAAAAAAAAGAGTAAAGGACCCCTGGACAGTTAATTCCAGTCAAAGGTGACTATGGGGTTGGGGCGCTCATCTAACTTTTGAGGCCAAGTGTCAGGGACTGGGCAGACGAGGAATGGTGGAGACCGCCTCCCCATCCTGACCCTCCCAGGGGGGAGGAGAAGGAAGAAGACAGTATAGATTTACAACAGTGGTTTGCAGGAGGTCACAGCTCAGAGGCAGATGAGGGTAAAAGTTGGGAAATAATGGGAGAGGAGGAACAGGCAGAACTGAAGTGGCAGCTGGCTGACACAGTGTCATTAGAAAGCATTCCAGACCCTCCATCTCCCAGAACCCGGCGAGCCTTAAAAGTAGGAGAGCAAAGAGCTCGAAGACAGAGGGCACATAGCAGCACCCGCAGAAGTGACGAATGGGAGAGACGGGGTGTGAAGAGTCACTTGGGACAACACCATTATCCAAGAGGCTGGGTTCTATAGCCTCTCTCTGTAAAGATCAAAATAAAAAAGGACGGTAAGAAACTTTTCCTTGTCTTTATATTTTTCTGGGCAACTAGCTTGGAGCCGCTGACAGCATCCTGACACCGAGGGAGCCAGCATTTGCCCACAGATAGCTTTCTGGGTCATATAGCCAGCATGACTAAACTGCTTCTGGTGCAATGGGACATCGTAACGGAAACCAGAGCGCACAGAAATGCTGTTTACCTTCCTGCCACAGCAGTGCCTATTTATCTATTTATGCTGGTGTGCTTTTGAACTGCTAGGTTGGAAGCTGGGACAGAGCAATGGGAGCTCACCCTGTCACGGGGATTCAAACCGCCGATCTTCCAATCGGCAAACCTAAGAGGCTCAGTGGTTTAGACCACAGCGCCACCTGCTCCCCCTACCCTTGAGTACCCCCAGAGAAAAAGCAAAGCCAATAATCAAGGATGGTAGAATTTGTAGTCAGGCTGAAGAAGCCTGACTTGACTCCTTTCTAATTTCAGTGGCTTAAAACAACCTTAGCTTTTATGGTGTTGGAGGGAGGGGGGGTGGAAGAGCAGGCCGAATTAATAACTTAAACACAGATTAGGGTGGGCCAAGGAGCCAGTTCAGATGTTTTCCCACGTGGTCATCTTGGGAGAAATCCAAGTGACGTCAACCCATAGTTTTGGAAAACAGAACCGAAAATACATTCCTTATGTACTGAGTGTATCAAATCCTTTTAATGGCCACAGCACAAAAGCCAGCCAGAAAAAGAAGAATAGGTGAACTTTAACCAGGTGCTGAAATAGAACAAACTGCTAAACGTGCTTCACAAATGCCTTCATCAGAGGTGAATTGAACTTCTGTGGTTTAACTCAATACATGCTGATTCTGAAGAAAGTTTCAATGAATTCAATAGGACTTGCTTCCATATAAGTTGATATAGGAATGCAGTACCTTCTGATAGAGGGGAAACTGGTTGAAATTCATTGGACAATTCATCTGGTGTTATAATTTTTTTTAAATAAATTGGAACAACAACAACAAAATAAATAAATAAGCAATTGTGGCTACAAAGAGGGAACCAACCAGCAACCACCCATGCAGGAAAGAGGAGCTGAGAGGCATTCAGGAATGCTATAGCTACAGAGCAAGAGAAAATTAATAAAGAAATTTTTTAAAATTGGCTTACAGTAAGTTTCTAAATCTAGGTCTCAAGCACAGAGCAAAATAGTAACCCAATATGGCTTGCTGCCTCAAATGCACCAGCTGATAGATATGATACCATTCCTATAATTTTCCTCCTATTCACCAGAGAAGGGCCGGCTGAATTTGGCTTAAAGTCAAACTAGCTGAAATAAGGTAAGTGCAATGTAGTATCACCCATTCAAAGGAGAGACTTATATTTAGACAAGGAGGGGCATGTTGACAAAGTAAATATTTGATAAGGGAGAAATTGCCAAGATAAGGAGTGCAAAGGTAGCTGATGGAGAACACCTTATATATTTCAAAGAGCCACCTACCTATATGGCTTTCTCTCTCAGCAAGATAAATATTATTACAGAGTCTATAAAAAGGCTGTATCAGGTTAAATGCAAATAGAATTTCATTTCTCAGCTGGTAAACGCAGTAGCAAAACTTGCTATGTATTAGTACTGTGGGACAGACATATCTAAATAAATAAATAAATACATAACCTGTATGCATAGCCCTTGTCACTTAGCGGCTGATAGATTTGATAAAAACATCACCATTTCCATGATGTCAGGCAGGAAATGGCCCAGTGAGAGGCTGATTTGTCTTCTCAGGTACAAATCTTTTATATAAGGCAGTAGTGGACCACATGGTGGGGGCTGGCGCCCACCTGACCTCTTGTTGCCTATCAGAGGCAGAGCGGGAAGGGTGACGCAACTATGAGGTCAGAGTGGTGCAAGCTCTCCACCAGAGCCAGTTTGGTGCTCCTGCCAGGGCATTCGCACCTTGCCAACTATGCTGACGCCTCCCTCCTCTCCTTCTCAGTAAGCTGCAGTGATGCAATAGATCAGAGGTCAGGGGAGTGGCAGGTCAGGAGTGGATTGTAAGCAATGAGGTCAGAGGAAAATTAAATGCAGAAAGTATGTCGACAGTGAAAATTGCATAATTAACAAAGGTAGTTCGTAATGCAGTTGTTGGTGACACAGACATCTTGGCCTTGATATGCCAATTAAGAAACATAACGAGATTTAGAAATGCCTTTCGCCAGATTCAATCCACTGACTCCAGAATATGGGAGATCATCTACTGTATCCACCTGGGTAATCTTGTACACTCCTACTGTTCTCCTCTTTAACAGCTTGAGCTCTGCAATTTGCACAGTTCTCATATTATGAATATTTGCTGGCTGTATAAGCATTGGCACTTGAGGAAATGAATTCACTATTAGTATATAAGATTACGAGTAGAATGCTCAGAGATGTAGAACGACAATATCTGCTTCTAACAGAAGGCTTCCCATAGAAATTAGAGCAATAAGACAAAAGACTTCAGGAAGATACAGTTTTTCCGTCCAGGTACTTATTATTGTACCTTCTCCTGCAGTTGTACAATGCAGTCAAATAGGTTTTATTGCACCAGGGCATTCAACCCAATGTGTCCCTATTTAGGATGCTGTAAAATGGCAAGATGGAATTGAAATCACCAGGCAACATTTCTTTTTTTCAATTTTCAGCTTCATAAGTATTGTGACTCTTTGTTCACAGTGTATCACTCTCAATTTTCTACAACACAAGGCATTCCACTTTGGCATCGTTCCAATAATAATAATAAAACGTTTGCTGCTTGAAAACACTTTGTAAGGTGCACTTTGAGGTGGCATGAATTCTCTTCTCTACACTACAACACTCTACACATAGATCTTACATAAATATTAGGAATCTCTTTCCCTTTGTTCAGCAATAGGCGAGCACTCAGCTTCAAAAACCGTAACAGATAATGGACCATACTCGCAGCTCTGAAATACTCTCGCATCAGTCAAAGTACTTAGCTTTCTTAGTTTCTGGGCTTGTTGTTAGGAACCTCTCTGAATATGGCAGCCAATTTTGAGAGTTGAGATTCTTGTTGTTGTTATTTCATTATATATTATTATATACTTCAGCCCGACTCTCCGGTTCAAATGAATATCCAATGCAACTCACAAAAGAAACAGAAATCCAATATACAGTAATAGAACTAAAGGTAAAGGCAAAGGGACCCCATTAGGTCCAGTCGTGGCCGACTCTGGGGTTTCGGCACTCATCTCGCTTTATTGGCCGAGGGAGCCGGCGTACAGCTTCCGGGACATGTGGCCAGCATGACTAAGCTGCTTCTGGCGAACCAGAGCAGCGCACGGAAACGCCGTTTACCTTCCCACTGGAGCGGTACCTATTTATCTACTTGCACTTTGACGTGCTTTTGAACTGCTAGGTTGGCAGGAGCAGGGACTGAGCAACAGGAGCTCACCCCGTCGCTGGGATTTGAACCGCCGACCTTCTGATCGGCAAGTCCTAGGCTCTGTGGTTTAACCCACAGCACCACCCGCGTCCCTGCAATAGAACTATAAGTACAATAATTAAAAGTAGCAGTCATGATTACATGAATGATTATGACACACACATAGACCAAATCATTCAGTCATATCAGCTCATGATATCCATGACCATAATTTAATTAAGATTTCCTTAGAGCTGCAACTGCCACAGCCATGGGAAGATTCTCTGGCACAAATCACTGCCATGATTAATCCTCCTCATCACAACCATGCTGTTTTCAAGAATTATCCCTGAAGAGTGCCATGTCTTGACAACAAGGCTTTTGCAAGTCATTCTTTTCTAGCTAACCACCCGATCAAAACAAATATTTATGTCACGCTGTGCCACCAAACAATAGGCCTCATATTTGTGCTTGAAAACTGAATTCATTATCGGACAATGGAAAGCGGATTCAAGTTCCTTGGAACTACTTGCACAAACTAGAAAGAAATGCACAGTTGTTTATGTTAGGGAAGAGAGCTGTGTATTCTACAGTGAGACAGCTGGGAAAAGGATTTTGAGGATTTCACACTATTTAGCAAGGACGGCGACTTTGGAAGCCCAGGTATCAAATGAGGGTTGCCTTTGCTCAAGTTAGGCTGATGCACCAACTTTACCCATGAATGAAGACTTTAGAACTGGCCAAGGTGAAGCACACTTATGGCTTCTGACTAATGCTTTCTGTTGTTTTATAGTTTCGATAGTTGCAATTGGACTGTAGTTTTACTAATTTGGATGCTGCCTTGAAAACTGAAAAGCAGGGTCATAATGTTTTTAGATATCTGGCAACAAAGGATCGGGAGACTCACCCAGTGCCGGATTTGCATATAAGAGAAACAAGCTATAGCTTAGGGCCCCACTCTCTTGGGGGCCCCCCAAAAAATTAAAGGAAAAAACTGGATGTACATTTCCAAAATATAAGATAAAAAACAAATAAAATAAAACCTACATACAGCAACAGTGTTTTGTGTTGTGTAGGCTCCTATTTGTTATGTGCAAATGGCTTTAGATACATATTAGGTCCATAAATTACCATATAGCATATATTCAACACAAAAACCAGCGACAATTTGTTGTTGACAAAGGACAGCTGGACATATAAAGGGCCCCATTACCTTCTGTAGCTTAGGGCCTCATCAAACCTAAATCCGGCCCTGGACTCGCCTCAAGTGGAATGTCATCTTGGCACAGAAGGCTATGTGAAAGTAAGTGGACCATTTGCTTTTAAGCATAATGAATCTGGGCATCCAGCAGTGCAGATGATACAATGCTTTTAAGTGGGTCCTGCAATAATTGCAGGGAGGGGCTTGGTTCCTGGGGAGATAAACCATGACTCCTTCCATGGTAAGGCAGCGCAACACCCCTTTCCCTACCACCTTTCCCATATCTGATGGGCGGAAGATGGAACCAACAACCGTTTCTATCTCAAGTGAATTATAGCTGTGTGATAATAGCCTAGTGCGTGAAAGAAAGCTTCGCTGTTTTGATAATTGTAAGGTAAGGGCATGAAAGTAATTTATAACTGTCTAAGGATCTAACCTTGTGTGTAGTTATGATGCCAAGTCGGAGACCACACAACACAGATGAGTAGGTTTCAGCATGCAGATTCTGTATACTATAATTTAATTGTAAGCACTCCCCTCCCCCCAAAAAAGAGTTGTAATTGCTTTAGAAAGCTGTTTAAACACCTAATAAAAGGGTGTCTCCGCTTGCTCAAGGAATTAAAGAGTATTTGCATTGGCAACCATCCACTGTAGAGTTTCTCCTGAAGTCTAAGATTAATGCCTTGCAATAATTGTCAGGTGAAGAAACATTAAGCAAGCCACACAAAATGGCATTTAGGCCTCTGGAAAAGTACCACATCTTGTACTTCAGGCACCTAACTTGGCAAATGGCAAGCTGTAGACCAGGAATGGGGAGCTTTTGGTCAGGCTTCCTCAACCTCAGCCCTCCAGATGTTTTTGGCCTACAACTCCCATGATCCCTAGCTAACAGGACCAGTGGGATGATGGGAATTGTAGTCTCAAAACATCTGGAGGACTGAGGTTGAGGAAGCCTGCTTTTGGCCTTCAGGATGTTGCTGGACTACAACTCCCATCAGCCTGAGCGAGCATGGCTGATGGCCAAGGGATGATGGAAGTTGTAGTTCTGCAAGATCTGGAGGGCCACATATCCCCCAAAACCTTCAACACTATCCACCCATCCCCATTCAGCAGTGGTGTGCAGTGGAATTTTTCATAGGGGAACAGTTGGGGCCAGAGGCACCAGCTTGCAAGGATGATGGGGGAGGGGATGTCGCACGTGTGATGTCACAAGGTCCCGATGTCGTGAGCGTGAGCATTGCACCTCCCTCCCTAAGGTGGGCAGAGGCTTCCTGGGCTTTGGGAAAGAGGTGCCAGGGGAACATTTAGGGGACTAGCACAATCACACTATGTGAACTTGGAATTTAAGGTAGGCTCATTACTTACTGACTCCTGGCCAAACTGGAAGTAAGCCTCAGACTTCTCTCTCCATCAGCAGAAATCAGCAAGTGAATTGGGATCCTATCTGTGTGAACCTTGGATCCTCCTAGTGTTCTCAATACCTTCTTTACCATTGCCTGAAGGAAGATGACCATTGTAAGGGGGAAGGTGAAAGCCCAAGAGGTTGTTTCCAGTCTCACCACTGACAGAATCCTGGAAGCCAAGGAATGAATAATTGTGCCCGTCCTGAGATCTTAGGATGGAGAGCAGGACAGAAATGTCCAAATAAAGTCTTGCTCCAGAACAACTGAGCTGAGCATCAGGCGAGACATGACACAAGAGAGCCATGATCAGGAACACTGGAAGCTGCATGATGCTGGACCAAGTCAGACCACTGTCCATCTAACTCACTACGGTGTGTTTGCTATCTGGCAGTGGGTCACCAGGTTCTTGGACAGGAGTCTCAGACCTCCAAGTGTACCTATTGTCCAAGGACAGTCCCAGATTTTGATTTGATCCTGGAATGTCCCATTTTTCCTTAGGACATCCCCATTTTCATCAGAGAAATGTTGGAGGCCAAGGAGATAAGCAACTATACAACCTTTAGAAGGCAGCCCTGTATAGGGAAGCTTCTTTTTATGTTGAATGCTTTATTATGTTTTTATGTATGTTGGAAGCCATCCAGAGTGGCTGGGGCAACCCAGTCAGATGGGAGGGATGATGATGATGATGATGATGATGATGATGATAGGATGTCCCTATTTTCATTGGAGAAATATTGGAGGGTATGGAGTTTTTCCCAGCCCTTCTTGCAGAAGTCAGGGGCTGAATCTGGCCACTGAGGCTCAAATTGGTCAAGGAAGTGGAACTAAGGGGTGGGATTTTTATTGGCTTGGGTAACTGTTTATCTTTTCATTTCTACTGATCTACTGTCTGTCTCATTCTGGTTATAGGGGGTGTGTGGGGTGTGTGGGTGTGTTAAACCCTGACTCACATTAAGGCGAAGGCGACTGTACACAGGTGATTTGCTTGTTAGCTTATCTTAATTTGCCTAAATATCATGTGAAACTTTCTAAGCAGCATTTGAGTGCATTGTGTTTGTCTCCAACCAATGAAAGATGGAAATTACTGGACCCTGGCCCAGTGGATATTCCCTACACAAATAATCAAATTGTTTTAAAAATATCTTTCGGTTTACTTTCCCCAATACAATAAGCAGAAGCCCACAACAGATGTGGGAAAGGGGTAGAGAGGAATAAGTTTACTTTGAGATTAGCTCAATTATCATCATGTTGAAAAGCTAATCAAATAAATGCCAAAATCCCCATTGTGACAGCCACTATGTAATCAAAAAGCATTAGAGGCAAGTCCAGAGGACACCTGTCCTTGTCAGGAAAAGAGTTTATGCTTTCTCGGAACACTGAGGCAAGAGTCTAACGTATAAGCATTTTATGACCAATGGTGTACAACTGCATTGCAATGAGTTAGATCAGAGGACTGCTTAACAAGCTAAGATATGAATGAGCCTTTCACCTGTGCTCATATCCGCTTTGTTCCTTCCCTCTGAGCAAACCATGACATAACCAGGAAATTAACCAACCACAGTTTCCCATTTTGTCCAAACTTAGAAATTCTGGTTAATAGCTTCAAAACAAGCCAGAATATTGAACAAACTTCTGGCTTGTTCTGAAGTTGGCAGCCACAGTTTCTCAGTTCAGATCAAATGGGAAACTATGGTTATTTTGAAACTTCCCAATTTAATTGTGTCTCATCAAAAAGGAGGAGTGAAGAAGGCAACCTTTTTTTTCTTCCAAATCTCAGCTTGTAAATTTGTGATATGATCATCTGAACCTGCTCAATGTATACCCGAGGCAAAGGCTATAACAGACTCCTTTGTGTAGAAAATGTATCCCAATCAGTCTAGGCAGTGGTGAGTCATTTCCATTTTCACTTCCATTTTCGACTTCCACTTACAAGAGCAAGGATATATCTATTGCCTCTTTGTTTGTTTGTTTGTTAAATTTGTATACCACCCTACACCCGCAGGTCTCAGGATAAAAACCACAATACACAAAATACATAATCAAAATAAAAGAAGAAGAAGAAGAAGAGTTTGGATTTGATATCCCGCCTTTCACTCCCTTTAAGGAGTCTCAAAGCGGCTAACATTCTCTTTTCCCTTCCTCCCCTACAACAAACACTCTGTGAGGTGAGTGGGGCTGAGGGACTTCAGAGAAGTGTGACTAGCCCAGGGTTACCCAGCAGCTGCATGTGGAGGAGCGGAGACGCGAACCCGGTTCCCCAGATTACAAGACTACCGCTCTCAACCACTACACCACACTGGCACTAAATACCAGAACATAAAAACCAGAACGACCCAATAAGCCAAAGTATCTGTTGTTTCAGGTGCGTCTTGCTCACACAATTAACAGGTAGGACACAAGTCGTTCTGAGTCCTTGCACACCTTTACAACTGCCCAGGACCAGCCCAAGACATTTTGGCACCTGATGGGAACCACAAGAGGGGAGACCCTCCACCAGTGAAGAACTACATCAGGAACAAGGGCAAAATAAAGGTCTACATCGGAAGCAATAGTGGGAGGAGACCAGAAGTGTGTCCTATTTGCCAAGAGGCTGCTGCAGAGACGGCATTATGAAGGGCTGCTAAAGAGACAGAGCAGAGACGGCTTCCAAGTCACATGGCATAGCTCTCGCTGCCACCGTGGCAGCCATAGGTGACGCAGTCCTCGGAGGCCAGATCTGCTGCCCCTGTGGATCCAGCCACCTGAGACGGTCGCCTCAGCTCACGGGTGGGCCAGCTCAGTAACTGTCACATGTTTCCTGAACCATTTGGCCAATCTCTTTGGAAAGAGGTAAATCTTTGCCCAAAGTTCCTCAAGATAAAACCTTCCTAGGAAAAGGTATTTTGAGGACGTGATCCGAAACGCATTGCAAGTAGGAATGAAGCCCCGCTGAGTGCGGTGGGATTTATTTTTGAACGTCCTGATCAATACAACATAGTAGTGATATAATTCACACACTTCCTAAAAATACCGAAACCCACTTGTTTTGTTTATTGTAAAAATAAAAATTAAAAAATGAAGAAGCACAGACTCTATGAAACGAATTCAAATCCATGCACTTCAGTGCATTTTTTTTTGAAAAAGTAGACATATTCTGTCATACATTTATGTTTGACATGTGCCTTTTTAGTTACTCCATGCCCATCTGCCTTAATGATCTGTGATCTTATCTAGAAGTTAACTAGGGAAATGTGCTGTTTGACCTTTATGGCTGAATGGAGTCTATAAGGAAGTTCCCACTGACTTTGGAAGGATGCCAGCATGGGGGGTTTTTTTTAACTGCTTAAAGGGTACAGACCTTTTTCCAAAGAAAAGGACAGAGGAAAACACCCCATATTTTAAACACATGGCCAGTTAACACAGATGAAAACTTTATATGAAATCACTGGGCAGAGGGAATACCCCCTTTTTTTATTCTGTCCTGGAGAGTCCACCTCCTAAAAAATAAACTGAGAGCGGATTGTACTCATGCAATGCTACGTTCATAGCTTCAAGGTCTTTGCAGCTGTAAAAAGGAGTGTACTAACTTAGATGGAATTCTGCCAGTCTATGCTAGTAAATAGCTTGGAAGATTCCTTCGGCGACTATACCAAAGGGGTGGGGAGCCTTATGCAATTTGAGGGCTGTGTTGGCTTCCAGGGGACACTTGCCAGTGGTGGGGAGGAGACCCAGAGGTAAAAGTGGACAGATCAACGAATGCAGATTTTACTCTTATAGGCTAGTTTCACACATCCGGCACCCAGGCAAGCAAGAGTCATTACCAGGCATCAAGGTCACATCCCAGCTGGGCAAAGGCCCTTGAGGAGGGTGTGAAGCAAGGCTGCTGAGAGGTGTGGCCTGAGGAGAAAAGGTGTGGAATGCCTGTTGCAAGGAATCGCAAGGGGAGCAAGTGTTGCTGCACACAGATCCTGCTTGCAGGATTCCCAGAAGCATCTGGTTGGCCACTGCGAGATCAGAACGTTGGGCTAGATCCAGCAAGGCTCCCATGGTGCACTGCTCCTCTGCCACATTGTTTTAGCACCGGCACCAGTTAAATGGTAGGAAGCGGAGCTAAAAGAAACTGGCTTCGAAAATGGCAATGGGCCTTTCTTCCTTCAGCAAAAATTACAGGCCGTGCTCAACTCTGGCCTTTTTCCTCCCCCCCCCCCACCAGCCCAGGCATCAATGAATCATGCATGGCCAACATGCCTCAAGGCACAACATCTGTCATACTCGGTTGCTCAAGCCACAATCGGCACGACAAAGCAGAGACGCAAATATCAGCAACGGTGCTCTCATGCACACTCCATTGGTTTCCCCATGCGGATGTGAGAGGAACACTACCCCAAACCAATATTAACGTTCCAAACAGTTGTGAAGCCTACCGACTCCAAAAATAATTAAGAAGGGTTCTAGCACTACTATAATTAATTGCTAACTTATTTTCCATTAGAAACCGAGGGAGAATGCAACTTAAAAATATCATTCATTAACCATTTATTACCATCTAGGTTAATAGTTCATAATGTGACCTGTGTCCAGGCCACAAGTGGTGAGCTGCCATGTTTGCTGAAATTGGCACTCCGAGGTTTCAGGCTCTTTCCTGGAGATGCCAGAGACTGAACCTAGGATCTTCAGCACACACTCCATGTGGTCCATCAGTGCATGTGGTCCCTCACTGAACTCTGGTTCCCCATGTATGCAATAGGCAAGCCCTGTTCTGTATACTTCATGGTATCTCTGAGCCTGAGGCAGGGTGACTGGCCAGATAAACAACACAGCTAATGGAGCGGGGGGGGTTCGCCACCAAGTGAATATACAATACCTTTAGGAGTTCTTTTGGCTCACTTCCTTCATCCACAGCAATCAACTGGGCTCTTCCATTCCGTTCATTGTCCCGAATGCCCACAGCAACCTGCATAGCTTTCAGGCGCTCAAATTTATTGCATGTAGAGCCACACCACTGGTAGATCTCCTAGAACAAAACAAGAGATCTCATCAGTACGCAGAATTATTCAGGGGAAAGCTTCACATGGATAGCTTGCAACGTTCCAGCATCATTACAATTCCAAATTCTCTGTTGCAACACAGCTGCAGATATTTGTTGGTGGCAAACTTACCCCATTGCTGGATCCAGCTCCATGCTCTCACCTTGAATACTCTCCCCACACTCACAATCATCTTCAAGGGGAGAAAACCAGTTTTATGTTGGCACTATAAAAGCAGATTTGTTAAAAACTGCACCTGGATGTTAAGTAAATTTTGGTTTATTGTTATGGGAACAAGTCGAAGGCAAGCCTAGAGCTTACCTGCTCCCCACTTTGTTCCTCTGTTTTTCTAGGATGGCTGTGAGGAGTTTAGGATCATGTCCACACCCTAATCTGTGGTTGATCTTAACTACAGTTTATTGAAGCAAACCAACACCATAACCCATGAGAGGGGAAAGCAATAACCACAAGCCTTACCTAAGTTCATTCCTGACACAATAAACCATGGTTTATTCATTGTGGCATCACAAAGCTACAACTGTGTGTACAGATTAGTATACAGATCTGTTGTGTCTATATGGCAGAATGATTCATAACTGTTTCTATTAAGGACTAGCAAGAATGGTTATTTGACACTATATGCTGGTTGCTATAGGTTCCCAGAGTTCCTTATGAAGAGGGGTTGACTGTGCAACCAATCTGGGAATTGTAGCTCCATGTGGAGAATAGGGGTCTGCTAACAGCTTTCGGAACCCTTAATGAATTACAGCTCCCAGAATTATTGGGGGGAAGCTATGAGTGCTTAAAGTGGCATCACAGTGCTTTGTAAGTACTTGGTGTGAAGGCAACTCATGTCAGTCCTTGATGCCAGCCCTGCCTAGTGATCCCTTGGCTGCCAAAGATGAAGGCTTCTTTGATTTGCCCTGGCATCCCAGCCGTTGGTTGAGCCAGTCATTTCTGTTTTCTTAATTATTGTTTCACAGTTCACAGCTGGCTCTTCTTAATTGCTGTCACTGTGGCTTTGATTGCTGCATTTTGATTGTTTCATTTCATTCTTTTAATTGTTCACCGCCCTGGGAGATTATGCTAAAGGACAGCTAACAAGCTGACTGAATAAATAAATCCCGCAAACTCATCCAAATAAGCTTGTATGGAAGCAGAAGCTTTAATTCAAAGACAAGCTACAAATAATTTCACAACAGAATCGCATGGAATGAACAGATTTTGGTAGCCTGAAAGTAGAAAAACAGAAAGGTGGAATAAGAGGACTCTAAAAGAACTACAGTTCCTAGTTTATGTGCTTTGCCTAAAATTTATCTCCATTAATAAACGTCTTGTTCCTCAGTCCACAGGCGTTTTGGCATATAATGAATCCATTCTGAGCACACACCCAAGAATACAGCGTTTTCTACTTTCCTAGTGAAAGGAGTACTAAATGAAACTAAGCCCACGCCTACTTTCTAGACCAAACAGCTTCACTATTCACAATTCACAATTTTGAATTCTGATTCATACTCCAAAAATGCTACTACAGTGGTACCTCAGGTTACAGACACTTCAGGTTACAGACGCTTCAAGTTACAGACTCCGCTAACCCAGAAATAGTACCTTGGGTTAGAATTTTGCTTCAGAATGAGAACAGAAATCGTGCAGTGGCAGTGGGAGGCCCAATTAGCTAAAGTGGTACCTCAGGTTAAGAACAGTTTCAGGTTAAGAATGGACACCCTGAACGAATTACGTTCTGAACCCGAGGTACCACTGTAAAAGCACTTGGCATGTGCCTAAAGTCAAGACAGCTATTAATTCCCCTGCCTGCTGTGAATGGGTCCCAATTGGTGAGGTCTGACACAACTCTTTACAATTTTAATAAAAGCCGCGTATCTGAAAGCCTTTCAGAGTTCCAGCTGTGAAAGGTTTCGAAACTTTTAGAAAAGCAAGAGTAGACAAACATTCCAGATTCCTAGGCAGCAACATCCAATGCAAATCACCTCCCTATTTGACCGACAAGTCGGTTTTCGCCAAGCCACATCCTGCATCATCAGGCATTGGGCACATAAACATGCGGCTCAGCTGAAAGGGGTGAGGACTGCTGTTGCTATCAGAGACAGGCAGGACTCTAAGGGGTGTGTGAGGAGGCAAGGAGGGTGGAGGATCATGAGGCCAGTGATTTGTGCACAAGGCAGGAGTCAGGGCTTGAAAGTCAGGGCTGTCAGAGACAGGGGAAGAGTTGCAGGGAGGGCAGGAAGAGAAGAAAGAGACAGTCCCTGAGAGAGTTGGGCCATTAGGATCTCCTCAGTCCAATGTCTCCAAGGTCAAGGAGGGGCCCTTTGCGCCAGGTGCAAAGGCGGAAGATGCCGGCTACTTGCATGAGCCCCGTCAGGTGAGGGGATTTGAGTTTGGGAAGAGGTGTGGTCATGCTGTTGCATCAGTAGTCCAGTTCAGGGCACAAACGTGGAGAGGAGTAGATGCCTAGCTAGCTACATAGCAGGAGGGGTGTATATATAATACAATAAATATTAATAATTTATTATTTATACCCCACCCATCTGGCTGGGTTTCCCCAGCCACTCTGGGTGGCTTCCAGCAAAATATAAAAAATAATAACATGTCAGACATTAAAAACTTCCCAGCCTTCAGATGTTTTCTAAAAGTTGTGTAATTCTTTATCTCCCTGACTCATGGTAGGGCGTTCAGTCGTTATTCAGTCGTTTTTATCCCCTGCTGTGGTTGCAGCCTTGTGACATATTTATCATACTGGGGCCTTGTTTTATCATTTAATAAAACTGAATTTTATCCTTTTTTCCTTTTGTGGTCTGGATGCCTTTTTCCCAGTTACATGATCTGTTTAACCCTTGTGTTTATGTGTATTATCACAGTACGGAATCCTTACTGGCCTGGAAATGAGGTAGTGGCAATGCAGTCAAGTGAGAAATCTACTTAGCCGATTAACATCATTTCTGAGTGTTGAAAGGCACCCCAGAACAATATTTAGACAGACGAACATGTGTCACCAGCACAACCTCTGAACTGATAATGAAAACCTCTCTCCCCCCCCCCCCCCGCAACACATACATAAAGTAAATAAAAGGAGATGGGGTAAGGAAACAAAAAGAAGAAACAGCAATTGGGATGTTTCAAAGTGTTCATTGCACAATTCTGTACATTAACAGTGAACTCATTCTGTATGTGTGGATTCTTATGTAGCCAACGTGGAATCACCCACGCACAAGACGGAAGTATGAGTAGGGTTGAAGAGACCTCGAGAAGTACAAAAAAAGTTATTTTTAAAACTCTAAGCTGGGGAAGATCCAATGCAAACTGACTGCGTTCGGTAGGCACAGATTGCAGATTCACTGCTGGAGGACAAATGGAATATGTGAGGAGAGTAAAATTGAGTTTCCTGGAAGAGCTGGCTGGAACCCTGACAGGAAGCAGCTTTACTCTGCAGCATTTTATTGCAGGTCCAAGTTGTTTCAAAGCACATATTGCCTTCTAGAGAAATGTTCTTTCGGCCGCAGCTAATAGCATCTCATTGCTGATTTTACAAAGTATTCTGCATTTTCATTATCTTAGTTGTGCAATGTTTATTGGTGGCCAGTACAAACGGTTATGCGAACGTAGCAGAATATTCTCATTTAGCAACGCTAGTGTGCATTTGCTATGGAAGGCTTGCCAAATTAATCAGATTAATTGTTTAGTAAGGCACCTGAATTTCCAGTTCTTGCTTCATGTACAGTAAATGCCAACCAGATGCACAACCACGTAGGGATATGAAATGAGAAAATCTCAACATCTCTTGGCTTAGTCAAGAAACAGAAAACAAAGCTCAAAGCATTTTTTTTAAATAAAAAAATGCAAATAACATATGGAAATATACTGCATGGACAAACACCAAGGCTCCATGGAAGCTGTGTTTGCAATCCATAGACCTTATCTGGTTACAAAAGTAAATCAACAAGATTTGAAGGTTGTCGTGTGTTTCCTCACCACACCCGCAAAATAATCTACCACACTATCTAATAAATTGTATCACTGCAATCCCAAAATTCCTCAGAAGGACAGCAGCACAAAAGAGCTGAATGACCTTTCAACACACACAAAAGCAACATTCTGAAGTGACCCAACTGTAATTATGGACATAAATATGTTTATTCTACAATATTCTTATTCAGAAAAAAGCAAGTCTTTCCTTCAAAACTCTAGATCAGGCGTGGGGGATCTGTGGTCCTCCAAATATTACTGGACTTCCACTCCCATCAGCCCCAGCCAGCATGGTTAGAGATGATGGGATTTGGAGCTCAACAACAACAGGAAAGCCATAGGTTTCCCCACCTCTGCTTTTAGCTCACAGCATCTTCCTTCTGCATTCTCTCCAACCTTTCACAATGGGCTGCTTATTCTCAGTTCTTTCTAATGTTAAATCATGAACATTCAGCCTGAGTCCCATACTGACCACTTGATAATAAATACTACATCCTGGTCTCATGCCACTGCCCTAAGTCAAATTTAATATTTTGACCACACGAGGGGAGTAAACAAGATGAAGGGAAATAGCAAATCTGATTCCAATCTTGAGAAATCCTGGCTTTTTTCAATGCTTCTTACATATGGTTGTTTCTGTCTTTGAATCAGAACTACATTAAGATGAAGGTATTCCTTTTTAAAGGGACGCGGGTGGCGCTGTGGGTTAAACCACAGAGCCTAGGACTTGCCGATCGGAAGGTCGGAGGTTCGAATCCCCACGACGGGGTGAGCTCCCGTTGCTCGGTCCCTACTCCTGCCAACCTAGCAGTTCAAAAGCACGTCAAAGTGCAAGTAGATAAATAGGTACTGCTCCAGCGGGAAGGTAAACAGCGTTTCCGTGCGCTGCTCTGGTTCGCCAGAAGCGGCTTAGTCATGCTGGCCATATGACCCGGAAGCTATATGCCGGCTCCCTCGGCCAATAAAGAGAGATGAGCACCGCAACCCCAGAGTCGGCCACAACTGGACCTAATGGTCAGGGGTCCCTTTACCTTTATTCCTTTTTAACCAAGCTTTGCTGGGGCCATTTTAGAGCATGACAAATTCTAGAAAATATTATTTCCTGTTGGTCTTTTATCTGCTTAAATGCTTGAAGGGATGTGGTCAGCAGCAAACCACCAGTGCTTGCAACACAAGTTATTTTGAGTCTAATATCACAGAGGAAGTGTCTGTAATGTATAGAGAAGATCTTGGTTTGGGGCTCAGACTTAATTACCGTATATGGCAGTTTTTGTAGGAGATTTTGTTGCTTTGGAAAACTTCATTCCTTGACCACTTACCGTTCCAAGATCAACAATGAAGCAGTCTCCTTTGTTGAAACTGTCCCAGCTAAGAGGAACTTCGGTGGCTCGAATCACTCTCCGGCCTTTGATATGCAGAAGTCTTCTTGCGCTGAGGTCATTGGTGACCACATGATTAAAGCCCGAGGCAACACCACCTGCCTAAATAAAGTGAAGCAAATTAGGGTTAGTTGGTTTCTGTGATGGAGTATATAAGGACCTAGTACACATATACAGAAGTAGATCATACATCACACCCAACCAGATTTGCACTAACACAGAAAACTGAGTTTGAAACCTGAGAAGATGGTCAGGGAGACAGACCAGTTGTTTCTTCTCGATGGGCTTGCACTTCCTTGGAAAGGACAAGTTTGAAGTTTGAGGCTGTACCTGGATCCATCTTTGTCACTGAAAGATCAGGTGGCCTCAGTGCCTTTTACCAGCTATAGCTGATACATCATCAACAGCAGCCATTTTTGGACAGGGATAGTTAGGCCAAGAGGATCTATACATAAGTAACCTTAGAGGGCCAGATTTGATGAAGTGAAGGGCCATGAGGGCCAACCAAAGTTGTTGACCTTTTTTTAGGACTGAAGTTGCTAAGCTTTTTTAGGATTTTACCCCAAAGTTGTTGAGCTCTTTTTAGGATTTTACCCCAGGAAATAAAACAAACTGCCGACTGGTGGGACATAGACTACGTGGGGCTGCCCTATTGAACTTCCGCCACTTATTGAAGACTTTTAAAAAATATATATATTCCAGTATGCATTTTAATTGATGTGTGATTTTATACCCTTAATTGATTTTGATTTTTTGTATCGTATCTTTGGAAACCACTTAGAGACTATTGTTTGCTTCAAGCTCTGCTTTAACACCGAGTTGGAACTGTAACTTCTTTTTAGTTCCCTTTTCAAAGATTCCAATTATTGTAGACACATCACGCAATCACACTATTACGTACCTTATACTTTATGCCACCTTTGAAATATCCAACGAATTGCGTAGACTCATATCCCTGGATTTCCCGATGCTGAACAGGCTTCCCTCCAAGATAATCATCCATCTGAACCGTAAAGATGGCTGCTGCGGTACTTTCATCCTGACTGCACTCTTTTCCTAAAACCAGACAGGAATGTTCTTAATAATATTCTCGATTTCCTAAAGTATTTTTCCTAAAGCATTTTCCTAAAATAAGAATATTTAGAGGAGCAAAATAGCAAAGAAGGGCAAACTATTACAGATTAAATGCCTGCCTGTGCAATCCAGTTAAATTATTTTAAGGAACTTTGGGTAGTCCTGTTTGCTGAGGAGAATGGGAGAAGCAATGATGTCTTCCACATACATTGACCAGGTTCCAAAGAGTGCAGTTTTGACAGATATCTATTTATTTATTTATTACATTTATATTCCACTTTTCTTCCAAGGAGCTCATGGTGCTCTACTTGATTTTCCTCACCCTCTTGTCACAGGAGCCCTGTGAGATAGGTTAAGCTGAAGCCTAGTGACAGGTCCAGGGTCGCCCTCTGAGCTTCATGGCTGAGTCCAAGTTGAACTCTATCTAGTTGGGGTCCTACTGAATTGAATGCTGCGTAACACTCTTGATGCCTGCATTTCCACATGACTGAGTCCACGCAAATCCAAATCAAAGCCCCATTTGATGCTCTTGTCTGTACTTCAGAAGTACTGGTAATTCACAACTTCAAAATATAATCTTTAATCACAAATATAACCTTTAATAATTTCCCGTTACATGCAGCCAAAGAAGGTATCTTCAGGTCCAGGACTTTGTTTTGTGCACCAAACAGAAGCTGTGCGCACGTGTGTGGGTGTGGGTGTGGGTGTGAAACCTCAGGTGCAACCTCAGGTCAAAATGGAAATTGGCAGATGTAGATAGAGAGTTTTCATCAAGGGATATATGAGTTGAGCACAAAACCAAGCAGAAAAGGATTTACACACTGCCAGACCGTCTCCTGAGAGGCCTGGGTCACTTTCAGCATTTTAGGCCCCTAGCCACGATAACAAAAAATAAAAAATGATGATACACGCAAACAAAATAAAGCACCCCTGCCAACAAAATAATGAATGGTTTGTTTATATAATCAGCAAATCTGAGACGGCATGTCCATCACAGTCCAATCTTGTGCCATCAGAACAGAAATATTTTTTAATTAATATGGAAGAACATTTTAAACTCAGGTTGGATGGCCATCTGTCAGGGATACTTTGGTTGAGATTCCTGCATTGCAAGGGGTTGGACTAGATGACCCTTGGGGTCCCTTCAAATTCTATGATTCTTTAATGTGACAAAACCTATTATCAGCTAACCCAAAAAATGCCTTTCGCCAAAGCACATCTCTTCATTGATTCACTATGCTGTTCTGAACGGACAAAGTGTGTTGCATTTTGGTCTTATGTGCATAAGCACAAGCTGTGAAACTTATTGAATGCCTCCAAAATTGACAAGAGTCTAAATCTGAGGGGCCCAACATTTGAGCTTGAGACCCAGGCCAAAGGGCCCTCCTTCTACCCTCCCCCCACTCCTATCGGCCCTGCACACAGCCTCTTCTGCAAACCACAGGAGATACTTAAACACAGCGCAACACACCACTGCGGGTGGCAAAATTCATTAGCAAAACTGCCAACTCCCTCACCTTGCCAATAGCCTCTGGTTCTTTCTGCAGAAAAATGAGTTTACCACATTTTATGTGCACATTACTCCTTACAACATCCACCTGGCACAATGGAATGAGCTGATCTAGAAAAGAGCTCTTTGGAGGAAAGGTGACTATCAGTGGAATAAATAAATGTTTATTTTGTTTTACTGCTTTCTATTGTTTTGCTTTCATCGTTTGCTTTTGTGTTACTTATATGCCATTGCGATTTCTGATGCGATGATCTTGATGGAAATGTTGTCCACTATTTTTTAGTGCTTTGTCATGATTGTGAGCTGCTTTGAGCTCAATATTGCAGTTGGAAAAACAGTGTACAAACATTAAATCAAATTCCAACCCCTACTTAGCCATGAAGCTCACTAGGTTATTTGGGCCAGTCATTCTCTCTCAATCTAACCAACTTTATAGGGTTGTTGTGAGGATAAGGAGGGACACCCTGAACATCTTGGAGGAAGAGCAGGATAGAAACATTATTTTATTTTTTATTTTTTAAAAAAACTATTTCTAAAAAGAGAGGCAACGTCATTCAGGACAAGAAGCCTTGTACCTCAGTTCCAGATATGCAGGGACTTAAGGCATTTGCTCTGTACATGCTCAGGAATACTTTTTATAATTATTATAAAATATTAATTCATAACTGTTTCTTTAAATATGGAGCAGGACCAAAGCAGGGAAAAGGTGACACTAAATGGGTTGGACCCTAAGACCAAGATTCACATTACCTGCAAGTTCCTAGTATCTGCAAAGAAACAAATTCTTATGTCACCTTGAAGGCTAACAGATTCATTGTTACAAGAGATTCTCTTTTGCATTTATTGTAGGAGGCAAATCTAGTTCCCCCTTTCCGGTACACGTCACCTTGGAAGGCACCGGGTTTAGCCACATTGTGGGAACCCACAATAAATATGTTGATAATATCATTCTTTCTACAAAGCCACATGTGTGCGTAGAGCTTTAAAGGGCACAAGAGGGCAGGTCCCTGCCTGCGGGGAGTTTACAATCTAGACTGAACGGTGCCATAAGATTCCTCTTTGTAGCACCTACAACAAATATCTGCTGCTTACAAAACAGCTCGGGTGCTGAGCTCCTTTGCAACTCATCTTCTGGAATCAGCATCAAAGAAGACACACACACACACACACACACACACACACATCTCCCCGCCAGTACTTTAAATCCTATAATCTGTGCCCCGAAGGAGAAACAGAATTGTGCAGAAACATTATGGCACCAGCTGGGTAACACTGCCAAAACTTTTTGACAGCAGACTCAGGCAGCTGAGAGGAACACTGTCACATCTGCTTTGCACACGAAGGGGCTCAGTTTCAAAACTCAGCATCCCCAGGTAATAGCTGGTAAAGATTCCTGCCTGAAACCCTGGGCAGTGGATGCCTGTCAGTCTATAACTGAGCAAGTTGCACCAATGATACCAAGCAGCTTCCTGATAATGTGTTGCAGCAGCAAGGAAGGTGGGTGTGTCAGGAGCCAACACAGAAGGAGAGACAGTATGGTGTAATGGTTAGAGCACCAGACGAGGGCCTGGGAGAACAGGATTCAAATCACCACTTGGGATTTGAAGCTCATGAAGTTCACCTTGGGCCAGCCATTGTCTCACATCCTAACCTACCTGACAGGGTTGTTGGGAGGATAAAATGGGAACACCCCGCATTTCGACCAGGAGCCGCTTTCCCAAGCTCCTTTGAACAAAGCGTGAGAAAATATAGATATGGAGAAAGCACCTTCCTGAGCGTGTCAAACTCTCTTCAGTAGAAGAGATTGGCTCATCCACAAGAACTTCCAGACCGGCGGGGGAAGCAGCCAAAAACAAAAGCGCATCATGTGGCCCCTTAAAGTCTAGCGGCAGGTCCCGCTAGACCAGGAGGTGGCTGATTTTGCCCCCTCCCTTCTGCCCTGCATCCACCCCCGCTGTCCCGTACCTAGCCAGTAGTGCAGATTGTAGAAGGTGGCGTTGCTCCTCTTGACCGTGTGCAGCACCAAGTAGGCGTCGCCCACGTAGAAGTTGCCGTGCAGCGGTTCGGGCACCGGCACCAGATCCAGTTTCTCGATCCGCCAGATCTGCAGCCCAGCCCGGTGGCCCGCACTGGCGAACTCTTTGTGGTACAGCTCCGGGGGCGCCATCGATGCTCCTCCTGCCCCGATGTCAACCAGCGAAGTCCTTCCCGAAGTGGCCCAAAGTTGAGCGTAAAAGCGCACGAGCTTTAAACCCACTTTGCAATTACGCAGCCGGACGGAGTTTGCGAAGCCGGCGCTGCAGCTCCCCTGTTTTATGGCACGAGCGCTGCGTTTGCACAGCCAAGGGGCGAGGCCTGTCAGTTCCCCGAGAGGCGGGTCTTGCGGTTGTATCTCTCCCCAGAGCCGACGGGGCGGCCGGGAGAGGCCTCGCTGCGCCCAGCCCCAAGCGCACCTATGGCAAGGCGGGGGCGCGCGGAGGGCAGGAGCTGCTGCTCAAAGGCCGCTTGTGCGTCGAGGAACCGCAGGAAAACCTCCAAAGAGCTGCTCAACTCTCAATCCCGGCCTTGTTCTCTCTCCTCTTTGGAAGCGATTCATTCTTACAGCAGTTCCAGCCAACGCCTGTCTACAAATCTATATAAAGCTGTCGGGGCCATTTCTTTCTCCAGTTTTAAGGGCCAGGGACGTCATTCCTTGAATATGTGACATAAGAAGTTTTTAAAGTCTCTGAGCATGCACAGAGCGCTTCCCTTTCCTCTGCCTTTGAGGAGCTGGTGAGGAAAGGATCCCCAGGTGGATTTGCAACTGGAGAAAACTCTTCCTTCCTCTATCTGTTTCAGAAATGCACGCACTTTAATAAATTTTACACTGCATTGGTGAAGCAGTGCCAACTTTGGTGGTTGTGCCAGATTCAGCTGGACAGAGCATAAGTACAGTGGTATTCCTGTGTGAGAAGAGAGGCAGGGCAAGGTTGATAAAGGGATACAGGAAGTCAACATATCTGTTTATACATTATACACAAGGTTGTGTACATGCTATTAAAGGAAACCTGAAGGACATTTTCCCCTTTCAAAGAATTCCGGGCCCTGTAGTTTTATCCCCCACTGAGGTACAATTCCCAGCAGCCCTTGACAAACTACAGTACCTACCATCTTCTGAGGGAAAGAATGTGTTTTGGACATGCTTGGAAGGTATAAGGTAAAGGGACCCCTGACCATTAGGTCCAGTCGTGACCGACTCTGGGGTTGCGGCACTCATCTCACTTTATTGGCTGAAGGAGCTGGCGTATAGCTTCCGGGTCATGTGGCCAGCATGACTAAGGCGCTTCTGGCGAACCGGAGCAGCACACGGAAATGCTGTTTACCTTCCCGCCAGAGTGGTACCTATTTATCTACTTGCACTTTGAACTCCTAGGTTGGCAGGAGCAGGAACCAAGCAACGGGAGCTCACCCCCGTTTCGGGGATTCGAACCGCCAACCTTCTGATCGGCAAGTCCTAGGCTCTGTGGTTTAACCCACAGCGCCACCCATGTCCCTCTTGCAAGGTATAGGGTGTACCAAAGGTCCATCTAGCTCAGTATTGCATACTCTGACTGGCAGTAGCTCTCCAGGGTTTCTGATGGAGGATATTCCCAAGCCATACCAGGGATTGAATCTGGGGCTTACATGCAAGGCTCTGCCACTGAGCTATGGCCCTTCCTCACTCACTGAGGCTCCACACTGGCCCCATTACAATGTATATTGCGGGGAATTATAGGCTGAATTATTTTTGTGGGAAGCTAGTCCATGTCAAAAGCACTTTGTTGCTTTACCTGAAGGAGCGTCTCCACCCCCATCATTCAGCCCAGACACTGAGGTCCAGCTCCGAGGGCCTTCTGGTGGTTCCCTCACTGCAAGAAGTGAGGTTACAGGGAACCAAACAGAGGGCCTTCTCGGTGGTGGAGCCCGCCCTGTGGAATGCCCTCCCATTAGATGTCAAGGCAATAAACAACTATCTGACTTAGAAGACATCTGAAGGCAGCCCTGTTTAGGGAAGTTTTTCATGTCTGATATTTTATTGTGTTTTTTATATTCTGTTGGGAGCCACCCAGAGTGGTTGGGGACACCCGGCCAGATGGGCGGGGTATGAGTAATAAATTATTATTAATATTACAGCCAGGCCTCTACATGAAGTGAGAGTGTGTCCCCAGGACCATCAGCAGCCTTGAGGAAATGGTACATGGAAACAGCCCGGCTGCTGACAGTTTATTTTCCCATCTTGTTTGTTTGTTATCTGCCTTTTGATTGAATGATATGTCTAAAGTGGATTATGCAACACTGTATAGTATATCAGTTTGAGAATGGATTGCAGCTTTGGCTTCATCATGCAAGAGTGGATCAGATAAGAGAGGTGTTGAGGAGGATGGTTATTAATATAAATTAATTAAGTTTATCGCCTTCCACACTCTTATGTCAAGGTGATGTACAAGTTACAATAAAAAAACCCAACAACCCCAGTGTGATCAATCTCAGCAGCGTGCTCAATTAAAACATACTGAGTTCTGAGTGCAACGAATCCTTTTTTCCCTACTTTTGCACCTGTTAAATATTGGCCCAAAGCAAAGGACAGGAGACTGATAGAAGAAAAAAACCACACACACACACACACACACACCCCGAGCCCTGTGGCACTCTAAAGATTAATAGGATGGGGGTGGCCTAAACTCAGGTGGCATACAGCCAACTTCTTGAAATGCCAGGGGACCCTGTGTGTGTTTATTGCAACAGACTCACAAGATCAGCCCTTTGGGATTCACCAGTAAGAGGAACTAGAGCCACCCTAGGTATCTAACACATCACAGCAAAACTGTGCCTTTTACCCCTATACAATAATGAAACTGGCACACTGGACACAAAAATGTAAGTGCTGTACTCAGCAATTAAATTAAAGAACCTTCCACTTTTTCTCCAGTATTAAAAGAAGGGGGCGAAATCTAAGCATATGCAGCTTGCTAGGAAATCAGATGAGATGCTTTGCTTGCTAAGTTCAGGGGTCAAAGAAGAGTTTGACTGACAATATTGGCAGCTAACAATATTGGTTTGAAACAAAACACTTAGTGGAACAGGTGGGTTTTGAGCCCGGATCTGAAAGAACAGTGAGAGACGGCATCGCACAAGGTGAGCTCAGAGGCAGTTTGAAGCATAAGGGGTAGGAAACACAGACTGAGAAAAGTAGACCTTCAGCTTGCTGAGGGTGGTGGAGCTGCAGGGACAAAGGTCATGGAAAGCTACGTATTTGGATATAAGAGAAGGAAGTAAGATGCTTGTTAACAATATTTGCTAGCGAACAATATCAATGCAGAACAAAATGCTTACTCAGCAACTTAGGCTGCATACCCGCTAATCCATCTGGAACGCAAAAATGTAGTTTTTCTTGATCTGGAATCGTTCAGGGTTATCTTCAACAAGCTTCTTTCATTCATGATTGATTCTTAATCCTGCCATCTGCAAGGGTGGGTGTGGTTGCTAGATTTAGGTTGTGTTTTAATATTTTGCTTTAATGTAATATTCTTTATACGCCACATAGAGTCTTTTAGACTGCTTTGTGTCTTCTAAACTGGTAATATCCTACCTGTGGTAATCCAGCATTTATAATACTTGTTTATAAGTGTTTAGTTCTCCCCCCGCATATGCTAAGTTGTTGAGTAAGCAGTTTGGTTTGCACCAGTTCTGTTAGCTACTAATATTGTGAAACTGGCATGCCATATGACCCCTGCCCCAACTGCCAGACCTCAGCAACCATCTGCTGCATATGCTGACTAAGTTTGTTTCATGCTGGAGAAAGTGGGTGTCTTTAACTGCTGACTACCATACTTTCATTTTTGCATCAGTTGTGCCAGTTTCAATATGTCTTGGGCAGGCGGCAGGCCTGGGCAGGCTGTGTCTTCCTGTTATATACCTGCTGGGACTGACAAGGCATCTGACCCTCACCTGAATCTCATAGCTCTCCTGACGAGTGCTTTGGTCTGCCCACCAGATACCAGGCCCCCTTTTATTCAAATTATGCCCCAGTGTTTTTGTTACAATCCCCACAAGTGGCCCCCAGGCCGGACTTTGGACATACCTGCATTCAATGAAATCCGGTGACATTCCGGGGATGGACAGTCAGGGGATAGATTTGTAAATCTGGGGACTGTCCCTGGGAAATGGGAATGTCTGGTAACTATAACATATTATCAGGCAGGTGTGGATACACATTTCGCTGCCAGGACCACCTACATCTGTTTTCCAATGGACACACTGAAGGATGCCAGAACTCACCATGAACACCTCCCTTGTTCCCTTATAATGGCAATGGTGCCCACCTGAGAGGTGTCGAGTTTCTGCTGAAAAAAAGCCCTGGATTTTGTGTGCAGCAGAACTGTCAAAGGTTTTCGTTTCTTTACCAAGCTGAAGTTTCTCACCTGAAAGCAGTGCCAGGTGCCAGCGCTCAATAGATGCCATTAAGTCCTGAGAAAAAGGAAGCTCTGCTTTGAAGATCTCTCAGTTGCTGATTGCTACATTTGCAAAAAAACAAAAACAAACCCACTTTCCCACAACATCCTCTTAACAAGTTATTAGAAGAATGTGACATAAAAAGGGAAGGCTGGTTCCTCTTACGTGTCCCGCCAAAGTGCCTCGGTACCCCCAAAACAGTATGTGTATCAACACTGCTGCACTTTAAAAAATGTTTCAGTCTCACACCAATTGGTGCAACCGTGGCAAATATCAAGGCTGAGTGGGTCTAGGCTATGTTTGGTGTTTAGTGAAATGGTTGTTTAATTGATTCACCACTCTCTCAGCTTGTAGAGCAACTTCCTGCTTGCCTTGGCTCACTTTACTCACTTACTCACTTTAGAAACACTGTATTTCAGGCATTCCTGAGATACTTAAGACAGACAATTAAAGCCCACTACTTGTTAGGGACGTGAGTGGCGCTGTGGGTAAAACCACAGAGTCTAGGACTTGCCGATCAGAAGGTCGGCGGTTCAAATCCCCACGATGGGGTGAGCTCCCGTTGCTCAGTCCCTGCTCCTGCCAACCTAGCAGTTCAAAAGCACGTCAAAGTGCAAGTAGATAAATAGGTACCGCTCCAGCGGGAAGGTAAACGGTGTTTCCATGCGCTGCTCTGGTTCACCAGAAGTGGCTTAGTCATGCTGGCCACATGACCTGGAAGCTGAACACCGGCTCCCTTGGCCAATAAAGTGAGATGAGTGCTGCAACCCCAGAGTCGGTCACGACTGGACCTAATGGTCAGGGGGTCCCTTTACC